TATATCAATGGTTTATTTTTTTTTTTGGTGAGTTTGAAGAATAATTCGGTTAATTTTTTTTTATTTCCAACCTGGTTTTGATAGGAATCCGTTTGGTTTAGACCAAACAGATTTACCGAACATAACTGCCTAATGTAATTTAAAAAAAGAGAGAGAGAGAGAGAGAGAGAGAGAGAGAGAGAGAGAGAGAGAGAGAGAGAGAGAGTAAAAGCTCTTACTTTGGCCACAAGATTGTCCGGATCTCTCTCTCAGCTTCACATTTTCCTCAAGTTTAGCGGTCCAATCTAATCCTCAAACCTCAACCAAAAAGCTATCGAGGAAACGCGCGTGATACTCTTTTCCAGAAATGGGGAAGAGACCGCCGATTCCACCAGATATCGAACACGGACCACCACCACCAGCGCGACCACAGTTTCGCCCGCCTATTCCCGTGCCATGGGTTGCGTGGCTTGTGCCTCTCATTTTAGCAGCCAACTTCGTCACATTCGCTACCACCATGTATGTAAACGATTGTCCTGCAAGATCAGATGAGTGTCTCTTATTTGATGTCCTTGGTAGGCTCTCGTTTCAACCGATTAAGGAGAATATGCTACTCGGTCCTTCTATTCCCACGTAAGGAAGGATTTCTTGATTCCATAATGGTTTTTCTTTCTCCGGGTAGAACACGAATCTATTAAAAACTGGTTAAATACTTACAGAATGCATCTTTGTTGTTGATTCAGGCTGAGAAAACTCGGAGCTCTCGAAAGGAGACTTGTAGAGGAAGGTGAGAGATGGCGTCTCATCTCTTGCATATGGCTTCACGGTGGTTTCCTTCACTTGATGGCTAACATGATCAGCCTCATGTGTATCGGAATGCGCCTTGAACAAGAATTTGGATTCAGTAAGACCCTTTAATTAAACCCCTCTATTTTCCGTCTCCTGAATTTGCTGTGATCTGATTTAAGAGTTTGGTATTACAGTGAGAATCGGAGCTTTGTATGTGATCTCCGGGCTTGGAGGAAGCCTGATGTCTTGCTTAACAGATTCCCAAGGAGAACGGGTATCAGTCGGAGCATCCGGTGCTTTGTTCGGATTACTCGGTGCAATGCTCTCAGAGCTGATAACAAACTGGACAATCTATGAAAATAAGGTAAGAAGTTTTTTTCATTTTAGACTTCAGATTTCTAGAAAAATAAAAACTTTATGGTACATTATTGATAGCTGATCTTAATTTTTTTTGTAGTGTACCGCACTTATGACATTAGTTCTGATCATTGTACTGAATCTAAGCGTCGGATTCTTACCACGTGTGGACAATTCTGCTCATTTTGGAGGATTCCTAGCCGGTTTCTTCCTCGGGTTTGTCCTTCTTCTTCGTCCGCAGTACGGATACGTGAGCCCCAAATACATTCCTCCTGGTTATGACATGAAACACAAGAAATCAAAACACAAGTGTTATCAACACATCCTGATGTATACATCTCTAGCCGTTCTTCTTGTGGGGTAAGTGTTCACAAAATACTCCATAACTATCGTTTGGCAATAGCTGCTTTAACACTGAATCCCGGGACTGGATGCAATCCCCGCAGGCAGAAAAAAACGAAGATATTCTCCATCAACACACAAACAAAAGCCCCAATGTTGTGAAATGTTCTTCCTTTACTAAAATTTTCCTTAAAATTTCTGCAGATTCATAGCGGGATATACTAAGCTTCTCAGAGAACATACCATACAGAGCGTGCCACTCAGAGATTTCAATTAGCAGCTTGTAGTAGCCAGCACACCAGTGACACATTCTCAGAAAAAGACTATATCACACAATCCCAAGGTTTTTCCATATTTTACACAAATAACAACATCAGAAAGGTTATACATTTGACAAGTACATGATTCGAAAAGTACTACATATGTATCTGTTGTTCAATGGCTGTTGTAATCTACACATCTGTATACAAGCGTATATTAAACTGTAGGAAACATTTTTTACATATCTAGGGTTTTTTTTTTGTGGCAAAGTAGGATCACAATCAATAATGTATTCTTAGATCTCACATGAATCAGATCGACCAAACATTGCATATCGGTTGTTTGCAACATTTTCATACAAAAAGTCTCTCACAAACCTGCAACATGTCAAAAGAAAAAATGTTTATTAAGATCAATCACTCGCGGTGTTAAATTTTGCTGTTTAAACCCGTAAGTAAGAACTTACAGAGGCGCAAACTGAATGAAGAACGCAAGCTGTGGAAATGGTAAGTCAATGTATTTCATGATCTTCAAAACCGCTTCTGACTTTATGTAAGACCTATCATTTTCCACAAGGACGACACTCGATATATCGTCAGGAGCTCTTCCTGATCGCATTAACAGTTTCTTGCCCGCTTCGCTCTGTAATGCTTCAAACCTAATGCTCCTGAAAACATTTGCATAGGTTTTTACCTTCCATTTCGCATTGAAAATTTTGAAACTTGTAATTTGACATTGGTGACTGAAATCAACACCAACCTGTTTCGATCATGGTCTCTAACAAATTTAACACCTCCATTACAGAGATTACAAACACCTATAACATAAGAACAAGAGTATTAAAATTCAATTAAACATCAAATTCACTACGTTGATACATTCTAAAGAACCAGACACATGAACATGTGATATAACTTATATTATATAGTTATATCCGTTGAGATGTGTATAAATACTATAGCATAAGTGAGAATTTTGGAAAACATTCGAACAACTAATACATTATAAATGAAATTTTATCAAACAGAGCCGATTTAAACTGTAATTAGAGATTTAAATAACCAAGATTACCATCGAACAACATGATCGGCCTCTTGTCTTCTTCAAAAAAGCTTGAAGTTTCCTTAACCCAGTCCACTGAATCGCGACGAATTGTGCGGTGGTTAGCAGAAGCAGAAACTCTCAGTTTAACTTGCGCACGCGACGGAACTGTTAATCGCCCGAAACTCGCCGGAAAAAGGATCGCCATCTCAAAGCTTCTCGCCGCCAAACACAGAAACGGTAAACTTCTCCGGTGAGCCACGAAATTTGGTGTAGCTTTTGATTTAATTCTCGAGAAGTGGTTTTTTCGTAAATAAAGGATTGATCTTAGACTATCTACAATAGGTGTTGAGATTCAACAGTTGAATAAATAATTCAACACCTGCAAAAAAAACTGTTGAATCTCCACATTGCATCTGTTGAATAATTTAAAAACCTTACGTGGATTATGTTGAAAAGAAAATTTTTGGGTCCGCGCATGCCACGTGTCAATAAGTGAGTGGGAGGTGTGTTTCAAACTCGGGGAAAAGAGAGTGTACTCTCTAAAACCTTTTTTTTTTATTTTTTTTTTCGAAAAAAGAAGAAATTTTTTAGATGCTAACACTTGCTATATTTTCATTGGATATTGAGATTTTAGAGATTTTTATTTCATATTATCTATTTACAATCAATTATTACATACCAAACGAACTTAAAAAAAAAAAATATTTATATGAAAATTTATAACTTTTTAAACTCTATAAATAGAGACTTGTTCATTTCATTTGGACACATAAAAAAAAAAACACAATTTCTACCATAATTTTCTTATTCTTCTCCCATAAACGCATGGTTATATCCTTAATTTTTTTTTGAAATGGATTCTAATAATAATCATATGCAAAATTCTACTAATTTTCCTTTTCCCTATCCAAATTTCAACAATAATCCTACGCAAAATTCTACTAATTATCCTTCTTATCCCACTTTCGTTAAATCGATTAGGCTGCCTCAAAGTGAACAAGACAAGTTATTTGCACAACGTCAGGAGGGATGTCGCAAGGACATTGAACGTGCATTTGGAGTGTTGCAGGCTCGATTTAAAATTATTCGTGAACCAGCTCGTATGTGGGACATAACCGATTTGGCTATCATCATGAGGTCATGTATCATATTGCATAATATGATTGTTGAGGATGAACGAGAGACATATGCTCAACATTGGAATGATTATGATCAATATGAGGCAAGTGGGTCTAGTACACAACAACCATTTTCGACCGAAGTGCTACCCGTATTTGCAAATCATGTGCGTGCTAGATCCGATTTGCGTGATTCAAATGTACATCACGAACTTCAAGCAGATCTAGTCAAACACATATGGGCACAGAGGGGAATGTTCGGTGGTGAATGAGATTTATAAGTTTGTGAGTTGAGATTATTGTACTAATTAAGTTATGAGTATTTCCTTACTTGTATTGTGTGCTTATTGTATTGCATTTTAAGTTTCTCATCAATGTATGTGTTTTATTAACGACTATTTGTATTTCTCGTTTTTATTATTTATAAAATAAAATAAATTACGTTTAGATAAAAATTATTTGGTTCAATTATTTCGACTTGTTGAATTGTACAAGAGAGGATAAAATTATGACACGTGACATTCATTAATTGGGTGAAAAAATTGCGTTTAGATAAAAATATAGATAAGAATACATGTTGTCGTTTTGAATTTTTCGTAATTTTATTTGTTTTAATAATGACTCTCTCTCTATTTTCGTTTTTCTTATTTACATTTTTAGTTAAAAACATAAAATTTAAATAAACTAAAAATAAAAAAATATTTAACTCTTAATTACGCTAATTAAAATTTAAGCGATAATCGTCATTAATACCCAATCGGAAAAACTAAAACATAAAAGAAAATAAAAATAATGAAATTAAAAATAATGAAATAAAATAATGAAATTTTATTAAACAAACCATTGTAGGGTGTAAAATTTTAGTGAATGTTGAATAATTAGGTGGAAGAGAGAGAAGATGATGTGGAAGAGAGAGAAGATGATGTGGAAGAGAGAGATATGATGTAGAGGGTGTTGAATGTTGAAACCAATGTACATAGTCTTAGGGGTAAAACATTTGCCACGTCATTAAAATGCAGCCAACCACGTCAGCAAAATGCAGCCAACCAAAGATTTAAACCACGTCATTAAAATGTAGCCACATAAGGATTTTAAACCGGTTCTAATTTGTAAACCGGTTTCCTAATTTGGTACCGATCTTGAGAGAAAACGCTCTCTTACGGAGAAATCGTGCCTTAAAGCTGACCCAGAGAGAAACTCTTCTTCACTGCAACGCTTTTGAAACAAAGTTCGTCACTTCGATCTGAATTATAATACTTCGGCGAGAATCTGAATAATCTAAGGTTCAAGATGGGTTGGATCGGAGAAACTGTAGATTCTATCAAATCTATTCAGATCCGTCAACTTTTCACTCAAGCGATCAGTCTTGGTTCGTTCTCCGTTATTCTTCTATGTTTTGTCTCATTGAACTCTGTCTGATTTGGGTTTATGTGACAGTAAATCGATTAATTGGCATTTAGGGTTCGTTAATGTATGAACATTTCTGAATAAAGTTGAAATCTTTATAGAAATTGATGAAGTTGATGGTGTTTCATTAGATCGTTTACTTTTGAAATTGAGGTCTAATTCTTAATAGATTACTTGTCTTACATGCGTATTTTGAGGTATAAACTCTTTTGAGGGGAAATGTGGTAGAAGTTGTTGTTAAAGTTTGTGACTTTTTTTTGGTTCTGAGCTAACAAGATTAGACACCTGATGGTTTATTGGTCATTGTATTATTTGTTTTCAATTTCAATATGAGTTATATGACAAGATTCTGGCAGAAGTAAATGATAAATTGTTCTATGTGTTGTATTCTGGTAGGGATGATTGTTACGTCTGCTTTGATCATATGGAAAGCTTTGATGTGTGTCACTGGAAGTGAATCTCCGGTGGTGGTTGTTCTCTCTGGAAGCATGGAACCCGGTTTTAAGAGGGTAATTAGACTTAGTTTTTCGAGATACATAAGTTTTACAGCGGCTTTGCTCGAAATGTCAAACATAAGTGTATTGAACGTGATATCTTATAGGGGGATATATTGTTCTTGCACATGAGTAAGGACCCTATTCGAGCAGGCGAAATTGTTGTTTTTAATGTTGATGTAAGTTCCCTTGTTGTTTTTGTTCTCTTTCGCTCTCCCTTTGATTTGTGGATCCTTCTCCTGATCGGATTTTGTTTTGCTTCATCCTTCTCCTCAGGGTCGTGATATTCCCATCGTCCATCGTGTCATTAAGGTAACTTTATCACCCCTCGCTACTTATATTGTTAATGATTGGTGTAGAAACCTAGCTGATGTTTATCACATTGTAGGTTCACGAAAGGGAAAATACAGGAGAAGTTGATGTTTTAACAAAAGGTACTGGTTTTATTGATATAAAATTTAACCCTTAGAATGTGAGTTGTTTTCATAGTGTTACTCTTCGACACACATTCGCATTTTCAATTTATGTTTCCAGGTGACAATAACTATGGAGATGACAGACTTCTGTATGCTGAAGGACAGCTTTGGCTTCATCGACATCATATAATGGGTCGTGCTGTCGGGTAATTAGTATACTTGAATCACAAAACTCTCAATGCCTGTGTAACGCTTAAATCAAAGCTATTCCGTGACTCATAATTGTTTTACCTTTTTGTCTGTTTCAGGTTCTTGCCTTATGTTGGATGGGTGACTATTATCATGACAGAAAAGCCTATCATCAAGGTACATTCTCACTCTTTGATCCAATCAAAAATGAAAAAATTTCGCTTTATGTTTCCGGTTTTGTGACCGCTACATTTGTATCTTCTCTTCTTGCAGTATATTCTCATAGGTGCATTGGGTTTACTCGTTATAACCTCCAAGGATTGAGTCTTTTGGAAAGGCTGCAAACCCTTGGTTTACTATTAAAGTCTTGTTATTTCAATGGAAAACAAAAAAGAATTTAAAGACAAGTTTTTGTAGAATCAGAAGCTAATTTTTAGTCGTGGAGAATGAGTTAAACCCAAAATCAAGATTTGTTATCCTATGAACGGTCTTGCTTTGTTAAATTCATATCAAGATTGGAAAACTAAGTAGTGGCAATGGCATATGTATGTATGGACAAGGAATCATTTACACTCAGAAAACACATCAAATACCATCTCGCTTTGACATAGAAAATGAATCTTAAGAACCAGATAACACTGCGAAGCTGTAAATGAACAGAGGTGTAACTAAACAAGGAAAGTCGTGACCGAATCGCAGCAACTAAATGGTTAAGAGGCAAATTATGGGCTTTGATGGGCCATCACCTTTGTTAGTTCAATTTGGGTCTCAATACTGGGTTTCGAATTAGCTCCTTTCGTTTAATTTGGCTGAAAAGCCAACCACTATAGTTAGCTTACAATAACAAATAACAATAAGCATTTTTGCCACATTTAATTTAATGCAAAAGAAAATTTCGTACATACTCCTATCCTTTTTTTTTTATTGGTAGAAAGTACATACTGTATCTAAAACTGAAACTTTGAGACTTTATTAAAAGTTGAAACGATATTAGAAAAAAAAACAAAAAACAAAACTGGACCTGATCTATTTTAATTATCTTTTTCGATAGATTTTTCAACCGTGTTTTATACGGTAATTTCTGTCTCGACAGTCAATTTTTTTTTTTGTTTCAGCGGCTGCGCGAGCTTTGGCAGCGACAATCTTCTGGTTCCACCTCTGGAAATAATTCTTAATTGTCCATGCTACAATAACCATGTTCTGCTGATATTTTAGAAGAGCGTTGGCTTCCTCCAAAGTTCTTCCCCTCAGCCTTGCGTAGTTGACATTCATTTTCCAGCTAGCAAACTTCCATATAAGTTTAGCCCATCCGAAAACACATGGACACCTGATATAAGAAGCAAATTTGCGGATTTGAATGATTTTGATGTAACTAAACTCAAAGAAACATGCTCTGGCAAAAACAAAAACCTGCCAATATCATTGTAGTTCTTGCAATGAATATTGTAAACACAGTTATGGTAACTAGACGGAGAACAACCAGAGAAGATAGCCCAAATCAAATGGAGATTTCATCTAAGAATTTCTTCAAGGGAAACCAACGGTCGTGGAGAGAGAGTTGGTAAGCCTTGACCATCAGCTATGATGCACGGGTACCGACGGCCGAAAACATTTTGGGGACGAAGACTGCACGAGGATGCTCAGAAATGTCTCAAGTTAGGTCGGGACGACAAATAGTTAATGGGAACGTATCCGAGACATTTCGATGTCAAAATAGATGTTTCCAATCATTTTTTATTTAGATTTAAGTCGAAAATTGGTTGTTATTGGATAGGATTATCATGATTTATTATAAAACGATAAATAAACAAGAAACAATGATTAAGTTGTGAATAAACTATGAAGTCTGTAGATTAGGTTTTTAATGAGCATGTGGTCTTAAGAAGAAGAAGAAGCAGGCACACGAGTTTTTTTTACTTTTTTACCATTCATTAATATTTGTGTATTACGGAAAATGGCTAAAAAACAGGTCAAAAGTTATTTGAACTGGCATCTCTTATTAGTCTATTTACATGTATCCTTGATAAATTATGTTAACCCATAATTCCCTAGGTTATCATGTGTATTACATGTATTAATGTAGTAGCCATTGTTGGATAAAGTTTGGAAGATTTTCTTATCATAATGGGATTAGGAGAAGCTTGGTTGAACCATAAATACTTGTCTAATGCTGACTTTCCATTAGCACCAGCCGTCTGAGAAATGAAAGCATAAAACCCCTGCATAGACAGACAATACACAGATCAATACAATCACACAGAGTTTACAGAATCGCAGTATCATTTCCCTAAACACCATCATATCTAGCTTTCTATTTCCAGTAGATGTACTTCCAGTAGTCTGTGAACAGCCTCTCATGTGACGCAAGAGAGTATTTGTACCACTTCTACGCAGGTCTAAGCTATAGGTGTGGTTGCAGTAGTTGCATCTCACATCACTTATAATCACACCATTTTTCTTACTAGATCCAATGATTCTAAAGGTTTTCCAGCACTGTGAACGCTTACGCCTACGTTTACCTTTCACCAAGTTCTCAGCTGTACTAGCAAGTGAATCTACTTCCTCTTGTTCTTCATTTTGATTCTCTTCATCCATATCCATCTCATCCCCAGTCATATAGTCATCGTCTAGGTTTAGAGTTTCTTCATTACCCATCTGAAAAGATCAAAAGCCATCAGACATCAGTCACAGAACAAGAATAGCTTTCAGTTTTATATGTAGTCTCTGGTCTATACAAGTATACATCACAGAAACTTTCACAGTCTATACAAGTATACATCACAGAAACTATCACAGTCTATTCATCACATAAACTATCAAGACCCACAAGTTCAAATCCAATTCACAGAACCCTAATGGTTCATACAAGAAATCACAGTCATTCTATTTCACAGTCTCAAAGAAAAGACTATCACACTCAAAAGCATACAAACCCAAAAACATAGACTATCACACTCAAATCTGACATGAATCGAAAGAAGTGGCTGAGATTGATGCGATGAAGCCATGGAGACAAGCGTCAAGCTTTGTTGCGAAGAAATCGCCGGAGAAATCGCCGGAGAAGCTCTGATTTTCGATTTTAGAAAGTTTTGACGATTTTTCATTTTTTCCCCAAATCATTTGACCTAACATTTTTTGTCTATTGGGCCGCCCAATTCCATTAGAGTCCAGTCCAATAAAGCCCATATCCATTATAGTCCAGTCCATTACTGGCCATGTCAAAACGGGCTTGTCCATGACCGGTCCATTAGGTGTTGGACACGGACAGCCCATGGGCGGCCCGCCCATTTTGACAGCTCTACTTGGTTCTAGTATAAATAAGAGCCTTATGAAGAACAAGAAGAGTAGCTCAGCGGGGAGCTCGTGCAGCTCAGCGGGGAGCTCGTGGAGCTTAGAGAGAAGCTCGTGAAGGAGAAGAGAGAGAGCTTGAGAGAAAGCTCAAGAGCTCGGGGAGCTCAGTGTAGCTCGGGGAGCACGAACACCTCGGGGGAGCTCTGTTACCAATGGAGCTCTAATCGAAGATGAGAGTCGAGACTCGTGGAGGAGTCGAGACAGATCTCATGAGAGTCTAGAGAAAGAGATTCATATAGACTTAGGGGTAGATAAGTTCTATATAAGAGAAGTTATGGATAGTTGTTCCATAAGACCTAAGAGGCTATGGAGTGTTGTTCCATAAGACCTAAGAGAGGACATTAGATAGAGATTTAGTTTTGTGAAGTTTTTAAATCAATAAAGAAAGGTTGTTCTTTAATCTCTTGTTCTCGTATTATGAATCATTCAGTGACTAAGTCAGGATAAGGTGATCCTGATTTGAGCCGTATCGATAAATTTTTAATTTTACCGTTTTCCGTCTCAAATAAAAACACAAAACGACATCGTTTTACTGTTTAACCGAAACAGTCAACAATGATTTAACTTCGTTAAATTGGTCTGTTATTTGGATTCACGACATATTTTATTTGAAAAAGTCAACCAAAATCGATAATTTAATTAAAAAATCAATTGAAATTGGTAATTAATTCACCGTAAAAAGAATTACACACCGTATAAAATAAAATTCAGATATTTTGCGTAATCAATTGATAATTCCATTTGATTCGATTTGGTTTGGTGCTATCTAGTTAGCTTTTGGTTAAAATTCGATTCGGTTTAATTCAAAAGATAACATAAGAATGTGGACATTAATTTGAGAGTGGTTCATAAACAGAGTTGGTTCGGTTTGATTTGGTTTTTTCCGGTTACTTCTCTTCTTCCCCACCCCTAATCTCTCTTCTTCCCCACCCCTAATCTCTCTACTTCTGAATCAAACGCCGTTGACGACTAAACCATTCACCGTCGTCTGTAATGTCTAAAACCCTTCTCTCTCGCATCAAACCTCTCACCAATCCTCCTCCATCTAATTCCTTCCGATCTCATTTTCCGATCACTCCCCGTATCAAGAAACTAGTCAGCGACACTGTTTCCATCCTCAAAACCCAACAAAACTGGTCTCAAATTCTCGACGATTGCTTCGCTGATGAAGAAGTACGCTTCGTCGACATTTCCCCTTTCGTATTCGATCGAATCCAGGACGTCGAAATTGGCGTTAAACTGTTTGATTGGCTTTCGAGTGAGAAGAAAGATGAGTTCTTTTCAAATGGGTTTGCTTGTTCTTCGTTTCTGAAGCTTTTAGCGAGGCATAGGATCTTCAATGAGATTGAAGATGTGTTGGGTAATCTCAGAAACGAAAATGTGAAGCTTACTCATGAAGCGTTGAGTCATGTTCTTCACGCTTATGCTGAATCAGGGTTTTTAAGTAAAGCAGTGGAGATTTATGATTATGTTGTTGAGTTATATGATTCTGTGCCTGATGTTATTGCTTGCAACGCGTTGTTGAGTTTAGTAGTGAAAAGTAGGAGACTTGAAGATGCACGGAAGGTGTATGACGAAATGTGTGAGAGAGGTGGCTGTGTTGATAATTACAGTACTTGTATAATGGTCAAGGGTATGTGTAGTGAAGGTAAGGTAGAAGAAGGTAGAAAGCTGATTGAAGATCGATGGGGTAAAGGTTGTGTTCCGAATATTGTGTTTTACAACACAATCATTGGTGGATACTGCAAGCTGGGCGATATCGAAAATGCGAAACTAGTTTTCAAGGAGTTGAAGTTGAAGGGATTTATGCCGACTTTGGAAACTTTTGGTACAATGATTAACGGGTTCTGCAAGAAAGGGGATTTCGTGGCGAGTGATCGACTTTTGGAGGAAGTGAAAGAAAGGGGTTTAAGAGTTTGTGTTTGGTTCCTTAATAACATCATTGATGCTAAGTATAGGCACGGTTTTAAGGTTGATCCAGCTGAGAGTATACGATGGATAGTAGCTAATGATTGCAAGCCTGATATAGCAACATATAACATTTTGATTAATCGTTTGTGTAAAGAAGGGAAAAAGGAGGTTGCTGCTGGGCTTTTGGATGAAGCATCGAAGAAAGGGTTGATTCTGACCAATTTAAGCTATGCCCCTCTAATACAAGCCTATTGCAAAAGTAAAGAGTATGATATTGCTTCTAAGTTGCTTCTACAGTTGGCTGAAAGAGGATGCAAACCAGATATAGTTACATATGGAATTCTTATCCATGGTCTTGTTGTTTCAGGCCATATGGATGATGCAGTTAATATGAAAGTTAAATTGATAGATAGAGGAGTTTCACCGGATGCCGCCATCTACAATATGTTGATGAGTGGATTGTGCAAGACCGGTAGGTTTTTACCTGCCAAACTCCTCTTCTCGGAGATGCTAGACCGGAGTATCTTACCAGATGCTTATGTGTATGCCACGCTCATTGATGGATTCATCAGAAGTGGTGATTTTGATGAGGCACGGAAAGTTTTCACTCTCTCAGTTGAAAAGGGTGTCAAGGTTGATGTCGTGCACCACAATGCTATGATAAAGGGGTTTTGCAGATCTGGAATGTTGGATGAGGCATTGGCGTGCATGAACAGGATGAATGAAGAACACCTTGTACCCGACAAGTTTACTTATTCCACAATCATCGACGGATATGTAAAACAACAGGATATGGCTACTGCCATTAAGATTTTTCGAGACATGGAGAAGAATAAATGTAAGCCAAACGTCGTAACATACACTTCACTTATCAATGGTTTTTGTTGCCAAGGGGACTTCAGTTTGGCTGAAGAGACTTTCAAAGAGATGCAATCGCGTGACCTTGTGCCTAACGTTGTCACCTACACAACACTTATACGGAGTTTTGCTAAAGAGAGTAGTACCCTTGAAAAAGCAGTTTACTATTGGGAGCTAATGATGACAAACAAATGTGTTCCTAATGAAGTTACCTTCAATTGTTTACTTCAGGGATTTGTGAAAAAAACATCTGGAAGATTTCTTGGTGAACCGGATGGTTTTAATCATGGACAAAGTTTTCTGTTTTTTGAGTTTTTCCATAGAATGAAATCAGATGGGTGGTCGGACCACGGTGCTGCTTACAATTCTGTCCTTGTTTGTCTCTGTGTACATGGAATGGTGAAGACCGCATGCATGTTGCAGGATAGGATGGTGAAGAAAGGCTTCTCTCCTGATCCTGTTTCATTTGCTGCTATTTTACATGGTTTTTGTGTGGTTGGGAACTCAAAGCAATGGAGAAACATGGACTTTCGTAATCTAGATGAAAAGGGTCTTGAGGTAGCTGTTAGATATTCGCGGGTTTTAGAGCAACACTTACCTAAAGCAGTGATATGCGAGGCTTCAACTATTTTGCATGCAATGGTTGAAAAAGCTGACACCAAAGAACCGGAGATCTGTAGAATTTCTGTAAGGTAAAAGACAGATTATTTGCTGCTGAATGAAGACAAGAAACTGATTTCAGAATGTATACTAGTTTCTTGTATTTGCAGACAGGAGGGTCTCATCGACTCTCAAAGGGCCATAGTACATGAACAAATTGTTGTCATTATAAATGTTGTGTCAGCTCAAGAATGTGGTAAGAAAAGAAACAGTATTACAGCTCAAATTCACAGAAGCAATCGGGTAAAGCGAAACCTCTGCCAATGGCAAAATCGCTTTTATGAACTTCCCAGAGAGCTTTCTTCAACTCTGCACCTTCAAGACCCTGAGAAGTGAGCTCCGCAAATGCTTTTCTGCTCAGGAACAGAGTATTATGCATCTGTTTATATGTTCGCATAGCTGCAACTATTTTATCCATGTTTCCAAAGTATGTAGCCACATATGCGTCACTGTTGATGGACACGTGATAATCCAATGCAGCTTTTGTGTTTCCATGCATTCTGGTGAAATCCTCTTGGTTAAGTAGAACAGACTTTGTGAACACATTTGTATAAATGGATGTGAATCCTTCCATCTCCATTAGACCGTCTCCAGCTGCTAAGTAAATGTTTGTGCTTGTTGGGATGTTAAGTGACTGAAGCATCAACACTGTTTCATTAGGAGTCAGAGGGCATTTGCCTCGCTTTCTCCATGTCTGAGCTAGTTCTCCAGTCCATGGCTTCCTATCAACACGAGCAGCTTCAATGGCAGCGATAGATGAAGGAGAGAGGTTTGGGTATTCACATTGGCTGTACGCTACCATGTCCGGTTCAAATCTGAGGTGAAGCGACAAGAAGGGTTTGGGAATAGCATCAAAAAGCTCGATGGCCTTCTTCTCCAAGGAACTAGTAAGGCGTATAGCCGAATAACAGGCTTGACATAGAGTGGCTCTTGCAAATTCGGGATACCTGTTGTATCAAAGTAGAAGAGTAAGATACTTGAAATATTTATAAGCAATTACAGACAAAGACAATATAGACTATTAGAAAGGCACCTGTCCCTGCGTTGGCTCATTGCTGGTGTAAAAGAAATGTAATGATGTTCCAACAACGATGGAAGAACACTTTCAATGTAATCAAATTGACCCTTCCTTTTGCTGCAGTCTACTTTGAATGGTTCTTTTGATGCAATATCTTTTGGCAATTCTTTAACAACTTCGATATAACCACTCATCTTTTGAATAAAGTAGTCTACATCAAAAACATCTGCAAATCCACTGCATCAACAAATATGACTGATTATTTCTCTTCCTTGATTAATTTAACGAAGCGCACACTTGGAATTGCTATCTAAGCTTTGATTTCAAGAGAAAGTGGGAGTACCTTGACTCGTTCCAATACGCAGCTACCTCAAACTTTGGCAGAACAAGTGTGGCATTCAACAAACGGGCAATCCCAACTCCATCACACAACTGCAAGCAGCATCACATCATCATATGATTTACTTCCTAAAGCAGAAATAATGCAAGTTGAAATCTTCATGGTTTAAAGTCAACTCATAAGATGGCCGATCTTTTGCTTTATCAAACTTACATCGCGTCTCATCTGATTCAGGCCGCCATAGCAATCAACGCGGATATATCCATTAGTTTTAGCGGGTAGAGCTGCAGGATTTGAACAAAAAACCAAAGCAGTTGTCTGCAATGAAAGACCGATCACAAAAGTTCAGAGAAGTAAAACTCACTACAAGCAGTCTACATTCTACCCAACTACAAAGTCTTCTCTTTTCAGACCAACACCAAGATATTGTTACTGGAATTGATTAAATCCGATTCAGTAGCTAACCTCAACCAAGATATTGTTACTGGAATTGATTAAACTGTCTATTTACATAACTTTTGCTCCATCCCAAGTAATATAATTGCACATCAGCTCAAATCCATCACAGAATCTTTAAACAGAGCAGAACCAAAGTGAAATCTTGAAGTAATAAAACTTAGGAGAATGATAAGAGAAGAGTACATACGAGTGAGATGTCCTTGTAACCACCATTTGCAAGGTCTCCATTCCACTATCCTCTTCACACTCCATATATCAGAACCCCTGAAGTTCTCAAACCAATTTCACTTGAAGAAGTTTCAATATAATCAAACAGATTCTTCCATCCTTTATAGCCAAGAAGACAACATTTTGAAGTAGAAATTATGCTAATTGAGTTTTCACACACTGATTAAACATCTGAATACTTCCCAATACCCAAACCGTTTGATGAGATTCTTCTTCGTGAACTAAAATTTCAAAGAAGAACACTTACACTGATGAACCGGAAGGAAACGGAATCTGCAGAATATGTGGCGACGGAGATAGAAGAATAACGACAAGAAGAAGAGAGAAAGTTAACACGAAGACGAACAATGGCTTCACCGGAGATCCAATCATTTGATTTACGTTATTCAATTGCAACTTCAAGATCGGAACTTTGGTAAGTGTCTCAGATCTATAAAAGCTCCACACACAACACTATCGTCGTCGGTGGCATAAGAACTCTGTTTCTTCACCGGAAAAATAAAATAAAAATAAAAATATTTCAAAGTCTCTGGTTCATATAGAGGCTTTAATCATATATAAAGATTTAACTAACTAATTTCAAAAGATTATTCATAATGTTAAAATGTATCTCTTTGAAGCTCAAAATCATCATCATCATCATCATCTTCACTTCCTTCACTTCGACGTCCCAATCTCCTTCTCTTTCCTCTCATCTCAACCGCCATATCTCGAACCGAACAAGAACTGCTTCTCTCCATCTTCCCTGCCAAAACATCCACAACATCCATTTGTCCCCAACCGACTAACCGATTCCTCAACATCTCAACCGTTGTCGAATACGGCGGAATCCCTTCATCAATCATCATCTCAAAGTACCTACAAGCTTCCTCTAACTTCCCTTTCTTCCTCACTAACCCATGAATCATCACAGTGTATGTCGCAACTGTTGGATAAAACTTTCTCTCACTCATTCCTTCCCATATCTCTGTCACGCGGTCAAATCTCCCTATTCGTATCAACAACTTGAGAACCATGTTGTAAGTGTGTCTATCCGGTAAACACTTGGTTCTATCCATTCTAGATAACAGCTTTGTTGCTCGGTTCACTTCGCAGTGATCGCAGTGGTAAGCCATTATCGAATTGTAAGTCCAAGTATCCGGATTAGCTCCTTTTTGAATCATCTCGTCTAACAGTAAGTAAGCATCATCAACTTTCTCGTTCTTGCAGAGTGTTTTGATGATATGGTTAAATGTGTACACATTGGGTACAAGATCGTACCTTTTCATCCGATCAAGTACCTGATAAGCCGAGTGAACATCGCTTGCATCGCAGTACGAGTGTATGAATATCGCAAAACTATACGCGTCCGGTTTAAGTCCAAGATTACCCATTTCTTGAAACATCTTATAAGCTCCATCAACATCACCAGATTTACACAAAGCGTCCAAAAGAGCATTGTAAGCAAGCAAATCCACAACACAATTATTCTCAAGCATTTCATCAAACACCTTACGTGCACCCGACGCGTCTCGGATTCTCGCCCACCCTCTAACCAAAATGCTATACGTCTTCGCACTCGGTACAATCCCGAACCCTTTCGCTTTATCGAAAAACTCCTGAGCATGATTCACATGTTTCCTATCGCAAAGCGAATGCAAAAGCTGATCAAGATCATCAACACAAGGCTTAATCCCAAACTCAACCATCCGATTAAAAGCTCTACTAGCTTCACTAGGTAAATTAGCTCTACTATAAGCTCTAAACACAATCCAAAACACTTTAGAAGTAATCTCAAAGTAATTATACTCTCTAGCTTCGATTAAAAAGTCCCAAAGCAAAGCGAATTGCTTACTACAACCCAAAATCTCAACCAAAATGTGATAACTTTCCAAGCTATGTTCAAAATCTGGGATTCTTTTTGCCCATAGAAAGAATCTATGAGCAGGAAAGCCGAGATTTTTGCAGCGTTTCAATACTTGTTCGACTAGATTCGACGAAACTCGGGGAGAGTAAGCGGCGAGAGTGTGTTCGAGGTCGTCTTTAGGGTTCCGGTGATCGCTGAGAACGCGGGAGATCTCGTTTACTAGTTCGGGTGATGGTGGATCGTGTAGGAGAGTAGAGAAGATACGAAATGACTGAGATTTAGGGGTTTGGTGAAGAGCGCGAACAAGAGAAGAGAATGTTCGAATCGCCATTTATGTGTGGAAAACTGAAAAACAGAGCAATCTGAATTTTTAAACTTGTGTTGATTGATATACACAAAGCCCATTGGATTTGTATATTTATAAGTGAGCATACTAATTTAAGAGGCCCAGTTTCATTGTTGCAAGATTAGATCATTACTTTATTACTCCCTCCGTTTCGTTTTAGTTGTCGTTTAAGGATTTAAATTTTGTTTCGTAATAGTTATCGTTTTAGGTTTTCAATGCAAATGTTTGGTAAAAATTTCAATATTATCCCTATTGTTTTAATGTTTTAGCCAATGAAAAAATTTATAAGATATACTCCCTTCGTTCCTAAAAGATTGATTTTCTAGCTTTTGTTATTTGTTCCACAAAGATTGATTTTCTAGTTTTTTTCTTTTTTTATTGATTTATAAAAATAAATCGTAAACTTCAAGGTGTAATGATTGAAAATAATTAACTTTCTTAAATTACTATTGGTTGATAGTTATTTTAAAATATGTAATATTAAAATTAATTTCAAATGATTAAACAATGATTGAATTCTTAATATGTGTGAAAACTTTAAAACATCAAACTATTAGGAACAGAGAGAGTATTAATAAAGGGTAAAACATAAAATTTAATGTTTTTCTTAATTTGTTTGAGAAAATCTTAAACGACAACTAAAACGAAACAGAGGGAGTATTATTTATGGGATAAATTGGGGGAAAAAAAAAGACAATCAGACAGCATATAGCAGCAGTTTCACCCAAAAAAACACTGATGAAGTTTGAAGTGTTGTTTCGAATATGCTTTGTAGATATTCACACATCTTTATATCAAGGTTTCCAAAACAAAATTTGGAAGCATCTCTCTAATAATTTTCTTAATTTTAGATTTTATTTCTTTATCTAAAAGTGCATAATATTGTTGTTAAACGAAATGATAACACGAATTTGCATCTGCATTTTGATTTTTGTTTTCGTTCTTCTGTTAATTTTTTTCCCCCAAATTCATATATCCATCGTCCCCGACAGAGATATCTCACACGAGTTTAGACTAACTAACAAATTTGAAAAAGACAGACTTAAGTTACATATGACAAATTTTAAGTATTTGTAAGTATGATTAAAAAAGATTTCAGAGTTAACTTAACATGATAACCACTAACGGCTAAGGGTGACCAATGAACAGGATACATATTTTAATTAAGAATATACAAAAAGTCTTCTTTTCTTTGTTATTTGATGGCTACTTGGCGAAGTAGTGCTGAGTTTCATCAGAACATGTATTAATCACTTCCATAAACGGCAAGAAAACAAAAATAAAATATTCACACACCAAATAACTCTGTTTAAACTAAGTTTTTTATTTAGTTAACTAACCTGGAAGCCCGTTGATCCATTGGTTGACCAAGGGTTAATTAATGTTTTTACACTAAGATGTCTGGGGTTCGAATCCCAAATATTGCGATTTATTAATAAATTTGCAAATTAAAGGAGGCAAGTGTGCAGGAGATCTCCAGCGAAGTACAATTATAGCCGTTCGCCAGGATTCCACGCAGAGAGAGAAGTGTCGTCAGGTCGTGGATCATTGAAAGTGTCCGTCAAGAGCATGGAGAAGGAAGTGTCGTCTGTCGTGGATCTAATAAGGGTCGGAAGGAATTGTCCGTTGTAGAATCGTCTATGTAACAGTTCTCATATTTTGCAATAAATAATAAATCTAGACGTCAAAAAAAAAACTAACCTTAAATTCTCCAACAACCGTTACTAGACATTTGGCAAAAATCACAACGTGCAAGTCAGTCTATGTGAAGTCTAATAAAACACATTCATATATATATATACACTCACACACAGACACATTTCCAATAATCTACTTAGTGGAAAAGTTTGAAAGATGGGGAAAGATTTTAAGAGTTTGGTTACTAGATGCATCTATGTTGGGAAGATGAATGATAATGCAAAGAAGCTGAAAATCGCAACCGAAGAACTCAAAGATCTTGGCAGCAACGTGATGAAAAGAGTCAAGATTTGTGAGGAGCAGCAACAGATGAAGCGGCTAGACAAAGTTCAATCATGGCTAAGACAAGCTGACACTGTTATTAAAGAGGCTGAGGAATATTTCTTGATGTCTTCTTCGTCTTCTTCTTCCGGTTTGATATCTTCGAGCCACAAGATGGAGAAGAAGATTTGCAAGAAGCTGAAAGAGGTTCAAGAGATTAAGAGCAGAGGAATGTTTGAAGTTGTTGCGGAAAGCATTGGAGGCATTGGAGGAGGAGGGGGTGATGGATTGACGGTTAAGGATAGCGATGAGCAGACGATTGGGTTAGAGGCGGTTTCGGGTTTGGTTTGGAGGTGTTTGACCATGGAGAACACTGGGATTATTGGATTATATGGTGTGGAAGGTGTTGGAAAGACGACGGTTTTGACTCAGGTTAATAATAGGTTGCTTCAACAGAAAGCGAATGGGTTTGATTTTGTTTTGTGGGTGTTTGTGTCCAAGAATCTGAATCTTGAAAAGATTCAAGACACAATCAGGGAGAAGATTGGGTTCTTGGATAGGACGTGGACGAGTAAGTCCGAGGAAGAGAAAGCTGCAAAGATCTTTGAGATCTTGAGTAAGAGACGGTTCGCTTTGTTTCTTGATGATGTTTGGGAGAAAGTTGATCTTGGTAAGGGTTTATAAATGGATTACTTATGGTGCAAGCAGTAGTGTTTATTACTTGTCGTATAAGTTATCTGTTTTTCTTGTGCAGTGAAAGCTGGAGTTCCGCCACCGGATGCACAAAACCGGTCGAAGATAGTGTTCACGACATGTTCCGAAGAAGTTTGTAAGGAGATGAGTGCACAAACGAAGATCAAAGTAGAGAAATTGGCGTGGGAACGAGCTTGGGACTTGTTTAAGAAGAATGTTGGAGAAGATACTGTGAAGAGCCACCCGGATATAGCCAAGGTGGCTCAAGAGGTTGCAGCCAGGTGCGACGGTCTTCCTCTAGCTTTGGTCACCATTGGCCGAGCCATGGCTTCCAAGAAAACTCCTCAAGAATGGCGTGACGCATTGTACATCTTGAGTAACTCTCCACCTAATTTCTCAGGTCAAATTTCTCTAACTTATCAAATCTTTTTATCCTGTATAGGTTTTGTATCTTAGTTTTCTAACTGATTATCATTTTTAACTCATTGTTTTGTAACAGTTCTCAAGTTACTGGACAGGAACTAGGTCAAGCCCAGAGGCGGAATTTAAATTGGGAGTATGTTTAATGTATTTGTTTGAAGTTACTTGCTAGGTTGTTTTTGAAGAATTTGTTTGCTTTTTATTTCTTTTATTGTGTATTTTTTTTGTGATTTTCTCAATCATCATATATAAGAATGAAATGTTCTAATATCAATGGTAAACAAAAAAGTTTTAATGGTAAAAAAAAAGGTAATGGTAAGGACAAAGATTTTTGTCTGTGGAGAAAAAAAAACAAAGAAGCAAAATACACAAAGCACAAACACAATTAAAGCCAAAATCAGTTCTTACTGAAGCTTCTTGATGCCTGGAAATGAAGGAAGAACTGTGATGAGAGCATCGTTGTATCCTACAGGCTCTGTCGAATCCCGAAAAGAAGAAGAAAAAAACCGAAAGTTAGTAGAGAGAATTGATGGCAGTATGAGTATCGATTCAACGATATAGCAAATAGGGTCTTACCGCCATCTTCGCGGAGTATTTTGACAATCTCACCGGAAACATCAGACTGGAAGAAAGAAAGAATACAATAAGAAGACTGAGAAAGCGAAAAAAAGCAAAGAAACCGAAAGGGGATTACTATTATTACCTCAACTGGGATTTGGCCACCAAGTTGTTCAATGTAGCATAGAACTTGACCTTCTTTCACTATGTCTTTCTGCAGAATAACCAAAAGCAAAATATATAATCAATCTAAGCGATTCGAGATACTCTGCGAAGATGGAGTATTAAAGACCTTTCAAAACATATGAGAAGACATACCTCTTTACAGATTGTAGGAGTGCGTTTCCCTTTAATGGTCTTGGATCTCCTGAAATAACCGACCTGCAACAACAAAAGTTCAATCGAGAGGCCCCAAGTTTTAGTCATGTCATGTCAGTTTCAGAGAAACTATATATCACAGAGCCTTTAAGTTAATCTGGTCTCTAACCGTTGGAGATTGGAGAATCACTAAACCCTGATCAGCAGCTTTGTTAGCAAGTGTTTGTGGCCTGTCTGCCGAAGAAGTTGATGTTTTTGTGATAGCCAATGACGAAGAAGTGGCTGAGCCATTAGTATGAACCCCCTCAGGAGTTGCGCTTGCAGCAACCACAGGCGGAATTTGCTGAGGCAGTGGACTACTTTGGTCAGCTAATTTCCTTGCTACATACAGGCGGAAACCTCCCAGCTATTAGAAATATGCAAATGAAAGAAAGCAGAATTATCAGACACAATCTTTAGAGCAAACTTAGCAGAGATGAGTAATCGAATGAGCTGAGAAAACAAACATAATTACGAGTTCAGAAATCAGAAGTGTGGCTTACTTTCAGTTCAAATTCTGCAATTGATGTGGAATCAGTGATTTCACTGATAAGTGCTTCCACCTAGAAGATGGAAAATAAAATTAACGGCTCAATTCACATAACTGATCTCCAAGGTGGCAAGAGTTGCAATAAAAACGCATGCTTTCACAAATGCAACTTTCTAGCTTTGTAAATTTCTAATTGACCCCTTCAAGGTTATAACAGTTGTACATTATACTTAATCTTGGATTTGAGAGATTTAACAGAAGGTAGCACTCACCTCAGAGGAGTTGGGAATAAGCTGAGAATTCACAACAGTTGATTTGGTCTCTTCAGAATCTTCTACGTCTGCAATAGCTGTAGAAGTAAACATGCAAACCAAAACAAGTGACTAAAAAATCTAAGCCACAACTCTACGCATTGTCTGAATGGTTTCATGACAAAAAGTAAAACAAAATCAAGTGAATCAGAAAACACAGAACAGATTACTAATATACCTTGTGTTTCTGCAGGTGGGACAGTAGACAATTGGATAGCTTTCACAGATCGCAGAGTCGTCGTCCTCTGACTCAGATTCTTGATGGGGCTTTGGTCAATAAAAAGTGTTTGATTGTTGGGTATCAGAAAGTTTCCACATCTTAATCTACTGAAACTTGTTGCAGAAATTCTAACTCTAGGAGCTCCTAAGCTACCTGAAACAGAATAAAGAAGTTATGAACATTCCTCCATAGATCCTTTTACCTTAAACTAACATGTTTCCAACTAATAACACCAAAAAATAAGTGCCTTTCAGTGACATCTAATTCAATGTATCATTATCTTTGCAAGTTATAGTCTTGAAACGAGAAGAGGAACAATAAGCATTATAAAGGAACAAGCTTTAAATGCATCATCAACAAACTCTAAAGCAAGATCATAGAGTCAGGCTCATTTTTCATTCTTCTCTATACACGAATCACATTGCAAAAGAACTCTCCTTGTTCAAACCCAGATTAAAACAAGTATTCATGAGAAAAAAAACAAAATGATTCAGAATCAATTTTACCAAAAAGAAAAAAAAAATCCAGGCTTGAATGTGAACACGAGAGCAGGAACAATTGCATTTCATGAGAGGCAACAGAGAGAGAGAAACTTACAGGAATTCATGGAGGAAGATTGGAGCAGGAAATGAAAGAATAATGCAGATGCGAAGAAGAAGAAGAAGATGGGAAAAAGCTGAGTAAACGATACGAACGAGGAAGACGATTTCTGATTTGGCGAGTGACGACGACGATGAAATCAAATTTGATGAGAGACCGACCACTTGTTCGATACAATCAGAGTGACGCAAAAGAAAGTGAGTAACTGGATTTGATTTGGGTTTTTGGGCACATTACTTGGTCCATATATAGAGCCCATTATTACTACTACACCTTTCAAAATAATATCGACTCAATTGTTTATTTTTAATTAAGCTCTCTCTATTTCTTTTAATTTCCTTACAATATATATTATTTTTTGTAGAAATTATATTTATATATATAATATTAAATAGTTATGCAATAAAAACTTAGAATATTATATGTTTAACATGATTCCATTTCAGTCGAGTAGCCTAAAAAATGTAAAAATTTGATCGATTACGCTGGGGTAATCTCGTGGTTTTTGTTTGTCAACAAATAATTAATCTTTGTCAGAAAAATAATTATTGTTTTGAAAATTTCATAAGTCAAACTTAATGAATATCGGATGACAAAAAAAAAAAAAAAAAAACTTAATGAATATAATTTGCAGAAATAACGTAATGCGAATTAAGTCTTGAATTACATGTTAATTTATGGATCTGCCAAACGGTAATAATCTCATGTTTGATTTGTAGGATTCTTAAGACCACTATTAAGAAGGGTATCTTAAAGAGTTCTTACGTAAGAAATGTGGTTTAGCTAAGACCCAAAACTAAGAAAAGTGACTTAGCTAAGATCCAAAACTAACCTTAAAAACCAATCACATGTCATATTATTACTTTAATACTTCTAAAAACCATTTTTAAGATATCATTGTTAATCATGCTCTTAGAAAACAACTTTCAAGACCAGTTTAATAATATTTTAATCTCAAAGTGTTATAAGAAACTTCTTAAAAAAATTCACTACACCTTGTGATCGAATTCGTACGTACATTTGAAATTCTTTTTTCTTATATAAAGAAGAAATAAATAATATAATTTTATGACTAATTTATAATATAAAAACCCTCACTAGGGGTTATAAGACACTTATAAATGTCTCCAGTACAATAATATACCCAAAATTCAGAAATTTAAACAACCAAAGCAATCAGAAAACAAGATTCATTTTTATTTTATTGGAAAAGATTGGGCCAATACTTCTTAAATAATTCATTTTTAAATATTCTTGGAACCGGGCTTGCTCGAGCGGGCCGTCCCAGCGGGGCTGCTAGGGCTGTTGGTGGCCGGACTCATCCCGAGAGTGTTCTTCACAGCGTCGGCTGCTCCTTGTGCCATGTTCTTCACTTGTCCACCAGTCTATACCCCAAAATCAACAAGAAATATTTCAATGCATATAAATGTCTATAATTAGTAATAATTAAAACAAAATGAGAAGAAAAATAAACCTGTTGGATGACACTAGAGGCCTGGGAAATTAGGGAAGGATTGCTCTGATCATGCTCTGAGTGTAACTGTGACTGTGAGTGAGTGTGATGATCAGCATTCTGGTTCATTGCGTGTGATACATTGTTCAAGTACTCTTCCTTCTTCAGCTATAATAATAATAATAAAAAAATTTGATGTATAATTATTCATCACAAAAATCAGATTTCGAAAATAAATAGTGTATGTTTATGGATCGGTCCAAAGGACCAAATCATAAGAAAATAAAGATGTCATTCTTCTGTGTATTGTATATACCTGAACTTGACCGGTGACTTCTCCGGCGCTGTGGCTCAATTGCTGGCTCGACGACATATTTTTGGTTGATCTGTGAAATGTCTTAAATAATTAAGATTATAAGTTTGTAGAAAATACTTGAAGGGATTGATATGTATTATAGTGGTATTTATACAATTCGAAAAATGTATATTTTAGTAAAATCCTAAATCTAAGCATCTCACTAACACATGGAAAATAATATACCATTGACGATTGACATGGCTAAATTTTTTTGTGGAGGTGAATAGTTTGAGGACTTGTTACCCTAACGTTGCTTGGTCAAGAAGTGAAGTAGGATGACCGGCAATAGGAAGATCTTAAACCTTTTTATCCGGTGACAATTATCTATTTATTTTTGTTGTTGTCAAAAAAAAAAATATTAATTCATTAATGTTTCGATTTTAACGAATACATTAAAAAAACTACAAAATTGAGCAAATTTTTATAGTTAACCAAAAGAGTGTTATATTTACAAAATAATCTTGTAGTCATAAAAACAAAACACGAATAAACATGTACGGTGCGTTTGAAAAATATTTGTGTAAAATTATATTCTTTCAGTATTATTTTTAGCTCTCGGTTTATTTTGTTTCAGCTTCCGAATAGAATAATTTAAAATAAACATTGGGGTTTTAGTGGTAATATACCTCATTTGATTAAAGTGTAACATGCTAATACCAAATTACTCATCCGATCGATTTTCAAGAGTTTATAGAGTTTCATTATATAAAATAAAAAACTTCGAATCCATGTAAAAATATTGTACAAAATGTATGACGGTTGCATAATATTATTATATGCGTTGAGTACATGAATATCCAGTATCAAGATAACGTGAGTCACCACGTGTCTAGCATCTTCCGTAACCCAGTTTTTACCATGACGTGTCACATCAACATAGGTCGTCATGAGAACGAGAAACCCAACTTTTACACTCGCACATAACTCCAAGGTTCGAAACTTCGTCACTTTAGTTTAACCTAATCGCGGCACGTAGCTACATACCTGTCGAGAAACTGCAACACCTATCTTGTTCTCTCGCCGACCAAGACTTGCTATAAATAACTGACGAACGAGTCGGAGACAACTCACAGTTCCAAACACACAAAAAATACATTATCTAAAGAAAAGCTTTGATCATCAAGAAAATTCTGGTTTCGAATTTCCGAGTTTTTTCGAAGAGAGAAAATGGCGTCTCATCAAGAACAGAGTTACAAAGCTGGTGAAACTAGAGGCAAGGTTCAGGTACTAAATGATTCATATGCAGCATAACTATAGATCTACAATACTTTTTGGATAGCAGCATTAATTTTTTTGAAGCTTATGCAAAACCTAAATATAAATTATTATTTATCAAAAAAAAAAAAAACCTAAATATAAATTATTGTTCACAAGTGAAAGAAAAATGTGTGTGAAAGTTAGTATTTAATTTTATGATGTATCTTGTTGTTTAATTTTGAAAAAAAACAGCTGATTGATTATTTTTAATGCTATTGCTAGTACGTGTAAATGTTTTTATAAAATAAATAAGATAGGTCTCTTTTCTGTTTTCCATAGCTTCACTCCAGTTTAGTTATTTACGTAATGGGCCTTTGTTCACTTTATATCCGATCTTGAACTGTAGGAGAAAACAGGGGAAGCTATGGGAACGATGGGGGAGAAAACACAAGCAGCTAAGGACAAAACTCAAGAGACAGCCCAAACAGCCCAACAAAAGGCTCATGAAACAGCTCAGTCAGCTAAAGACAAGACATCTCAAGCTGCACAGACGACTCAACAGAGAGCTCAAGAGTCCAAAGACAAGACAGGAAGCTACATGTCGGAAACTGGAGAAGCAATCAAGAACAAGTCACACGATGCAGCTGAATATACTAAAGAGACTGCAGAAGCAGGTAAGGAGAAGACTAGTGGGATCTTGGGCCAGACCGGTGAGCATGTGAAACAGATGGCTATGGGAGCTACTGATGCAGTGAAGCACACTTTAGGGCTTGGCGCTGATGAAGGAAACAAAGAACATGTTTCTTCAGCTCCAAGTACTACTACGACCACTACTCGTGAGACACAGAGGAAGTGAAGAAGAGGATAAATATTTGTTTTGTCTTCTTGGTTTCCATGTTTGTTTGCTTTGGTTAGTGTTTGTTGTGTTCGTGAGATTATGTTTATCCTTCTTGTTGTTTATTGGGTTTGAATGTACTTTTACGTATTATAATATGCGATGGTTTTCTTCTATTATGTTATTTGGGGTTGTGATTTTTGAATTTGATTAGTACGGAAATAACATTATAAGAAGTTTTTTTTCTTTTGAGGATGTCTAGTCAAGTGGTTAAGTCAACTTGACTTTATCTTTCCCAGCGGAGTTCGATTCTATTAAGTCGCCTTACTCCACGTAGCAAGGATGTAAAAAAAAAAACATTATAAGAAGTTATAATTAGTATCTTATAAGGTTTTCTTTTTAATACTGTATAAACACGACGGCTGGTTTCTGAATTCTCTATGTTCATTGAGAAAATGGTTAAAAAATTCAAGTCTTGGGCTGGTTTCTTATTGTCTTATGCTGGGAGGCTGCAATTGATATAATCTGTTATCTATGGACTGGTCAACTTTTGGGCCTCAACGTTCATTCTTCCAAAGGCTTGCATTAAGAAGATGGAGTCCCTCTGTGGCCGAAGGAAATGGAATTAGTCTCTTCTCAGGCTAAAGATATGTCTCAATCGCAGGTTGATTTTTCAGGTAAGTAAAGAGATTTGTTTACTAATAAAGTGACTCAATAATTTTTTGGTCAAGAAGCCTAAATTTTACTTGTTTTATTTCATGTTCTAACAAAAGATATAATGAATCTCGTCGTTGACGACAGTGACATAGATGAAGACTGCTGTATTTGGGGGAAATCTAAGAGAAAAGGTAGCAGTATTTTTCGAGAACCTAAGAGAAAGGAAGAGACTACAACAACCTGTGAAGCTGAGCTAACTTCCTTGAGGAATCGAGTCCAATATCTAGAAAACGAAGTAAGGATTTTGCATGATCTCATCAATAACTTCCTTGGCAAAAGTAGTATATAGAAGTTAGGATATTAGTTTAAGTATTGGATTGAGACTTGTGTTATGTATGAATTGATTTTTGGTTTATGAAATGATGTATATCTTTTGGATGTTTATTATTATTATTATTATTATATTTATATTGGATATTTTGAAATTAAACAGGTTCCACCAAATACAAATAGTTTAAAACAACCGCATAAAATTAGAGTTATGGCACTGAATATTATAACATCATAAAAACTATAGATCATAGCTTATATATATCGCTATTATAAGTCGTTATATCAAAGCGTTTGCCTAATGCTATGGTAGAATGCTCTATAATAACATACGGAAAAACGCTATCGTATGTAGGGGGTCTACCATAACAGGGGCATAAGACAGCGTTTATGAAAACGCTATTAATGACATATAATAGCTCTTATCTCTTGCTAATAATGTAGATATTTCTTGTAGCGCGCCGTTTCCTCTGGTCTGGATCTATTGATTATTTTCACAGTGCTAAAGTTGCTTAGTCGGATGTCTGTTTACCTAAATCTGAAGGTGGTTTGGGGCTTAGGAGACTGGGAATTTGGAACTCCACCCTTTGTCTTAAGTTGGTGTGGCTTCTTTTTGCTGGTAGTGGTTCTTTATAGGTGGCTTGGCACCAGTTTCACAATTTGAGAGGTAAAAGCTTCTGGTCCTTACCTGATTCTCCTCGCCTCTCTTGGAACTGGAAATGCCTTTTGCGGCTGAGGGATACTGCCAGACCTTTTATGGCTTACAAGCTGGGAAATGGTTGCTTAGCAAATTTCTGGTTTGATACTTGGACCCCTCTAGGTCCTTTAATCACTCTCTTTGGCGCCAACGGTCCTACAGATTGGAGAGTTTCTTTGCATGCAAAGGTCGCCTCCGTCTTTTCTCACCTTGGTTGGCGACTGCCGCCTTCTTCCTATCCTCCTGTTATTGCTCTTCACGCCCATCTCTCAACAATCAGGCAGCCCCTTGACATGTAGATGATGATCTTTATAGCTGGGTTATTGATGGTTCCAGTTTTCAATGCTTTCCTAAGGCCAAAACTTGGGAAGTGGTTAGGCCTAAAGCGAGTAAACCTGATTGGTACTCGTCTATTTGGTTCAAGGGAGCCACTCCAAAACATGCTTTCACAATGTGGGTTGCCCACCTTAACCGTCTGCCCACAAGAGTGAGACTTGTGTCTTGGGGTTTGAATATTCCCTCCTCTTGTTGTTTGTGTTCTGTTATGGAAGAAACGAGGGAGCATCTCCTACTGAGATGTGTTTTTAGTGCTCAGATTTGGCACTTGGTTCAGTCCAAGCTGCGACTTTCGCCTTGCATTTTTATTTCTTGGACTTCTCTTCTGGTTTGGATGAAGCTCAAAATAGAGTTTGCGCCTCCAATTCTTCGGAAATTAGTCTCCCATGCAACAGTCTATCATGTTTGGAAGCAAAGGAATAACTTGCTGCACAACGGCTCCTCTCTCTCACCTTTGGCCACCTTCAAAGAAATTGACAGGGAAATCAGAAACACTATCACCGCTCGCAGAAACAGAAAGGCTTTCCGAAGCCTAATGCTCTTGTGGATTCGGTAGACTTTTTTGATTGACAATCAACAGTATCTTGTATTCTTGTTTTTTACTTTTTTTTTGGCAAATTTACATTTCTGGTTAAACTTTTTTGTAAAACCTCAACTTCATTAATATGATATTCACATTCCTATTAAAAAAAAAAAAAAAACACGACGACATTCAGGCTCCGACTGGTAACCATTTTTTTTTTTTTTGTCAACCACACATTAATTATTAGATAACACCTTGATTGGTTGCCCAATTAGGAGGAGTAGTGTTTACAAAAGTAACTTCGGAAAATAAAAGTCTAGAAGAACGGGCTAAGCAGTCCGCCTTAACATTACATAAACGAGGTATAAGAGAAAGCGAGAATAAGGGGAAAGAGTCACGGAGCAGTCCAAAAGCATCTAGCAGATTAGAGAAAGCGGGCCATTCTTCAGGTGATTGTACCATCGAGACTAACTCTGAACAATCTGTTTCAAACGTCTGACAATCAATCCTTCTTGAAAAGACATTCTTCATGGCCCAAATTAACGCTTCCATCTCCGAGTGAAGGGGGGAGGGGGATCTCCGGAGGCACTTTGCACCAAGTAGTATCGTTTGATCATTTCCTTGAAAACACCACCATCCTATTAAAAGAACAAAAAGAAACTGAATAAAAAGAACAATGCGGAATGGAACAAACAATTTTTGAGGAACAAAAAGGAAAAGATGCAGATAATGAATAAAATGTACTATTATGATGAATGGTAACCAAACAATAAAAATATCTTTAAAGATATATTAAATAGTAAATGAATCAAATTTCAATGAAAAATACTAAATATTTTTTATATTTATTTAAATTTATATTTAATTTGAAACTAAAATTTGTGAACTAAATTTATATATATATATATATATCATTTTAATTAATAATATTTAATATTAACATAAAATAAAGTTGAAAGAGTAATTTAAAACATATTATTCTTTTACAATATAAACATTTTTAAATTTATTTTACTATTTATATAATTTTCAAATGAAAACTTAAGAGTAATTCAGCATGAAATTCTTATCAAAAATATTTTTTCTGTTAATATATTGTAAAGATATGAAAATTATTATATAATAAAATACAAATATTATTGATAAATATTATTATTTTATTTATTTTAAAATAAAAAACGAATTTTAATATTTGTTCCTTTTTTGTTCCATTTTAATCCTCATCAATTTTGGAGAGGAACATTTTTATTCTAGTGTTCCTCTTTTGGTGAAGAATGTAGAGGAATGGTGTAGAAAAAATATTACTTGTAATGGTAAAAATATTGAAAAACAAAGAGAAATATCACATTCCTTCTCATTCTTTTCCTAAATTATCACACTTTTCGTTACTTCTCAATTCTTTATCAATCAATTTTTTTTAAAATTAATTTTCTCTGTAACGTCTTCGTATGTGGGTAACGGTTTTCAATACTGTTACTTCAGGGAATTTTCATAAAGTTTTGTATGAGAATTAATTTGATTTATGCATATCAATATTAGGATTTCCGAAGCAATTTTGATTCCTTGAGAATTTGCTGGTGAATTATTTTTAAAGACAGTTTTCATTCCTTAATTAATACCCTAGCTAGCCAATAGAAATTAGTTTTTCTCTGCTCCAACCTTTCACGCCTCTTGATTTTGCATGCATATTTGATATCTTCACTCTATTCTCCTTTGTAATATATGTTATATATATATATATATATATATATATATATATATATATATCATATTTGTTTTGTCTTTTTATTATTTGTGATCTTGTAGCCATGCAACTAAACAGCAAACAAGAGTGGTATAGATGAGAGTATATATGCACAGTCAGCTAACGAATTTTTTTTTACTAAAATATAATTTCACTTTTTTAAAAGGTTTCGAACGAAGAATACATTAACTATTGATTATGAATAACATAGACAAAAAAAAAAAAAAACACTTTATTATATTGTACGATAGTTTTGTTCCCCAATTCTTTACTTTATGCAGAATTTAACCATATCCTCAAAGCCCAAGGTTTGTGAGCCAGACACGGATCTCATTCGTTACATGATCCCTGCACACATGGTATATAACTCAAATTCAGTGATGTATGTAAAGAAAATAGTAATCAAAACAAAATAAGTGGAGTAATCGTCGTTATTTAGACCCTCCACATTGTTTGAACAAGGTTGGAAATCCAGCCACGCGAAGGGAGTCAGCACATCTGTATCCAAATGAGGAGGGAACTACATCATCAGCTGTGACACAAAAAATGCAATAAATAATCAGCATGATCTCTATTTCAAAAACAAAATATATTTTAGCATATATGATCTCGTGATTCTTATATATCTTGATAACAAATTAGATATATAGATGATAATATATCTTCTTGAACATACACGTTCCATGCAGAATTAAGATTTTTGATGCGGCAGCACGATTTGCGGTCCCAAAATTAGTATTATTCATATTGTATTCCAATCTCCTGCAAAATTGAGTTTGGTTTTCTATTATTTAAAGGTACATGTAATATAAGTTTTATAAATTAGTGACAAGTGACATAATTAAGAGCTTCAAGATCCTACCTCCAGCCAGGAAGCCAACCATTGATCCCTATAGTAATTTGTGGGTTTATGGGAACCCATCCAAAGGCATAACAACTCGTATAATAGAGAGCTTGTGCTGCACCCAAGCCGATACCTGCCACTCCTTTTATCACTACCAAAACAAACATTGACATATTACTTAATCAACCATATAGGTAAGTGTAGATATTTGATCACCAAACATAAATGTAGATATTTTCAGGATTACCATTTTGTGGTTCAGAAGAGAAAAGGTAGGTAATATATTCATTTACATAATTTAAAGTTCCAAAATCATCTTGCATGTTCTCAGAAACTTTTGTGATGTCGCACCCTGATTCATCATAAAGGTTTATGAAGTCAATAGCATTAGTTTTCTAATTGTAGTACTATTTTAGAGACATCAAATACCTAAAAAATTTCAATGATTTAAGGTCTCAAAAATTTAAATCTAGCTAATCTTACATGCATTGGTTATCTCTCCACCCAAGGAAGTAACACGACGTCTAGGAGCAGTCGGACAAATCCATTTTATCTACACCAAATTGTAAGTGTTGATTAGAAACTTCAGCGTAATTTTCCATTTTGGCTATATTAAGATCATTTGCAAAAAATACATATGTTAGTGGAACTGTACATTGGGAAGACGCAAATTTCGCAGAGGCTCAAGTGAGCTGCAGACATAATAGACAATTAAACATACATATAATGAGAAGAATATTTCGAATACAAATATATATATATATATATATATATATATATATATATATATATATATATATATATATATATATATATATATTGTAAATAGTGAAACGAACTTAAAATCTTATAAGAAAATAAAAGTTTAGAGGAATGTAAATTAATAGAGAAAATTTATTATTCTTTGCAGCGCCATAACCTTTTTATACAAATAAAAATTATTCATCCAAAAAATGTCGAACTGACCAAATTAGTAATTGCATATCATGGGAAAAATCAACTTTTCACATATTAAAAGACTTAAAAGTATATATCTATTTTTTTTGGTTTAATAAAAAACTTAAAAGTTGAAGTATCCAAATCATATTTCTAATTTTAACGAGAATCTTTGATTTTTGAAAACAACTGAGCATATATAACGATAAACAATATAGCATGTGAGAGTGTTACTCGAAGCCTGTGTTGTCTACGTCATGTAGCCAGATTATAGTAGCTTTATGAATTCCTGTGTGTTTAATGACATTAACCTGTCCAAATTCCAAGCCACTTACGTTTCCGCTACCTGCATATAGTTATTATTCGCAAATTCACTAATGAGTTACGTTCCACACAGAGTATATATTTGAGAGAAAACTATCAAACAATTTTGATAATAATCACAACTAGGAAAAAACAAACCAGAAGCCATGCTCCAATGAGAATAACTTTTGTTTTTATATTATTATTTCGGAAGCTTTTAACTTGCACTAGAGATGAAAAATATAAAAATAGGCAAGGGAAGACATTGGGTATATATACAGAAATGAGATGTTAACTTTTTTTTTTTGGTTAATCAATAAAGGAGCCTTATGACAGAAAAATCCTAGTATTAAAAGTGAAAACCTTATTTCTTAAATGTTGGATGGGATGGCCAAATCTTATACTACTAAATTGGGGGAAAACTATTTATCTATTTTTTTTAATAATGCATAATTTATTTAAAACAATTAATAATTTTTTTGTTTGTTTAGTATTTGTTTAATTGTTTTACATGATATGAAAAGGGAAACAACCAAAAAGTGTTTGGGTGAAAACCCATATATAGCTATATTGATATTTCATAATTAATGCATAATTGTTTTAATATTAAGAGCATTTATGTATAAAAGAAAAGAAAGCCCTCTATAGCTATATTGATATTTGACACCTCATCAAATCATATATATAAAAGTTGGCCAACTCTCTCCATATGAATGACACATCATCACACAAGTAAATGACATGTGTCATTCAATATTAGTTAAATTAAAAATCAGCAAAATTAATTGAAACAAAATCAAAAGTCTCATATTGTGTTAAATCCTCCAATAATCCATTTCTTAAATGATTTCTTCAAAATAAAAATAAAAGTATAAAATTATTTTAATAAATCAATTACTACTTTCATTTTACTTTTATTATATTTCTATTTTTTTTTTTAATTTAATAGTCAATGGTCATCACTCGATAATGACTAAATAATTATTTGTGTTGTAGTTTAGTTGTTTGCTACCTAATATCTTATTAGTTTAGTATTTTTACCTTTAATATTTTTTTATTATTACGTTATGGTTCATATCTTATAATATGACATTTTCTCTTTTCATTTTTGTATCTTATGGTAAGTTCGTAACATTAACTTGCAAAATTTTACAAGTAATAGGCTTTGAGACGTTAGACATATCACGAAATTCAAGACAAATCCATTTCTCTTATATGGCTATATGCAATAGCATAAAATCTAAAAGTATTACTTAAATAACTCTTTAATTTTTGCTTTCTTTTTCTTCTTTTCATACGAAAAGTACTCTTGAGAGAAAAATATCTTATATTCTTGTTGTGGGGATTCATGATAATGAACAAATACTAGAATTTTAGATATAAAAATAATCAGATTATACATGAAAATGTATAATTAGATATTTAGAGTCAAAAACGAATCTAACAATAAATATTTTAAGTACATAAGATGAGTTTAATTTTATTAAGTATACAATAACAAACAAAAAAATAAACACAAATTAGCAACAAAAATAATTAACACATTTTTATTTTAACAATTTTCAAAACAAACCCACGCGTAGCGTGAGAATTTATCTAGTATATATTAATGTTTTTATAACTTTTATCCAGTGTTCAAGAAAGCGCTAGGCGCTAAGCGGGCGGTGACCCAATGCCTAGCGCCTAAAACGCCTAATCGGAGTCTAGGCGATTTTTAGGCGGTTTAGACGTTTATAACATAGAATATTATAAATGTTATATTATATATAAAAGTTATATAAAACTAAAAATTATGAAATTATAAACAAAAACTAGATAAAAAATTTATTTATATTTATATTAAACAATATATGAATATTTATAACTATATATATAAATAAAACTCTAATTGAAATTGAAAAAATACATTAAACAAAATCTATGTAATTTTATGCGGTCATGGTGGTTATCTAGGCGTCGCATAAGAGCCTAGCGCTTAGTCGGGGCCTAGGCGGCCGCCTAGATCGCTTTTTAGAACACTGCTTTAATTTTATCTTATAATGACTAATTAATTTTGCTTAAATATATAGTAAAAATAATAGACTATTTATTTTCTAATTATTAATTCTTCCCTAAATTAAATAGCACGTTGGGTAATCCTAAATTCCTAATAATGTATACAAAGTAATTAAAGATCACAAAATCAATAGAAATAAAATAAATTTCAGAATCCCTATATTAATTGGTTAAAACACGTACGTTGTCTCAAAAGAGTAATCCAAAATTTAGACTAAGTTCATAGAATTGCATTTTGTTTAGGCCATCTGCTTGTGAGTATATATTATATAGAATATTTATATTTTAAAAGTAATCAAAAGCACATGCCTAGAAATTATAAAGAGAATAAGGAACTTGAAAATAAATGTGAGTTGAGTTGAGTTATTGAGTTATATAGTCCTTATATTATCTATTAATCCAAGTGGCTTAAAATCTATGTAAGTTTTAGAGATCATATTCTAATGAGCTGAAAATGTCACGGCCGGATGGCGGCTAGGGTTAATGTTCAGGGAAATATGAGGGTCATGTCCCCGCCGTATGGTACGATAGGTTTGGAAGTTTCTCGAGATTTCATTTTTCTATTGTGTCGAATTTTTGAAGCATATACAAGGAGTCTAAGGTTTGTAAAAAATGATTATCACATTAATAAAAGAAACCCTAGACAAAAGGTCTTTGCTTCAAAAACACTCGTTTTCTTTACTATTTTCCCGGTTCCGAGCTCCACTACCTTCGGGCCTTTAATTTGCTTTTCCTCTTTTTTGTGGGCCGTTTTTGGACCGTGTAACTCTGTTTGTCATGCCCATTTGGGTTTATTAATATAATTAATTAATTTTTTAAAAAATGTTAAGAAGAACATAAGCTATTTAAAAAAAAAAAATAGGAAGCATATACATGTTGAAAACGTATGCCAAAAAGAGAGAAAATTGTGATGTTAATTGTGTGCAATCTCAAATATAATATGTTATCATCATTAAGAAAATGCAATTATGTGCAATATCAAATAATATGTTATAAATTATAATGATATATTCGGCAGTTCAACACAACATCATTTTCATTTATTTCGCCAAATGACCATAAATATAAATTTTACTAAGATATAATAGAAAAAGATATTTCGCTCTTTTTTCTTAAGGTTTCGAACGAAAAATACATTAAATATTGATTACGAATAGCGAAGACATAAAAATATAATAAAACATTTTATAATATTGTACGATAGTTTTGCTCTCCAATTATTTTCTTTATGTAGAGTTTCACCATATCTTCAAAGCCCAAAGTTTCTGAGCCAAACACTGATCTCATTCATTACATGATCCCTGCACACATGATATAACTCAAATTTATAGATGTATGTTAGAAAAATTGTAATCAAAGCAAAACGCATTGAATTAATCGATGTTTAGACCCTCCGCATTGTTTGAACAAAGTTGGAAATCCAGCTTTTCGAAAGGAGTCAGCACATTTGTATCCAAACGCAGAGGAAATAACATCATCAGCTGTACCACGAAAAAAAAGATAGAATTCATTATTTAGTATGATCTCGCAATTCTTATCTAATACTATTATATATAACTTGTTTCACTTACAAGTTCCATGCATAAGTAAGATTTGTGATGTCGCAGCACGATTTGCAGCCCCTAAAGTAGTATTACACATATTGTATTCTAATCTCCTACAAGATTGAGTTTGGTTTTCTGTTATTAAAAGATACATATATAATATAAGTTTTAAGAATTTGTGAACGTTAATATATATAGGAGCTTGAAAAGGCTACCTCCATCCAGGAAGCCAACCATTGATTCCTATAACAATTTGTGGGCTTATGGGAACCCATCCAAAGGCATAATAACTCGTATAATAGAGAGCTTGTGCTGCACCCAAGCCGATTCCTCCTAGTCCTTTCATAACTACCACAACCAAAATTAACATATTAGTTAATTAATCATGTATATATTAGATAGATACCATATAGTCTGAATTTTGCATATTGTTAAGTATAGATTATTTAGAAATACCATTTTCTGGTTCACAAGAGAAAATGCTGGTAATATATTCATTTACATCATTTAAATTTTCAAAATCATCTAGCATGTTCTCAGAAGCTTTTGTCATGTCGCACCCTGATTCATCATAGAGGTTTTATAAATACAATGTTATTAGTTTTCAATTCTTGTAATATTTTAGGGACATCAAAACTTTTTTCCCCATTAAAATATAAAGCCACAAATAAACTTACATGCAGTGGTTACCTCCCCACCCAAGGAGGTAACGGGACGCTTAGGAGCAGTCGGGCAAATCCATTTTATCTATGCCATATCATAAAATTTTGATTAGAAATTAAACTTCAATTAAAAATTTCCATTTTGGATATAAGGAAATTAAGTTCATGCATGTATGTTAATAGATCCATACATTAGGATGCTTCAAACTTTTCAGAGCCGCAACTGAGCTGCATATATAATAGATATACATATATATTGAGAATAAATTACATTTCGTTTGGTAAAAATAATAATAATGTAAATATAAAATTTTAATGAAACGAACTCAATATCATTCTTGGCAACGCTATAATATTTATATACAAATAAAAGTTCACCAAAAAAATCATAGAGCAGTTAAAATTAGTGTTTGTGAATCGATATAAGATTCAAGTTTTTAGTTAAAAACAAAGAACCGCCAAGAAAAAGAGTTAAAAGTTGAAGTACTTGCAAATCATGTTTGTAAATAAAACGATACAATATATAGTATGCTAAAGTGTTACCAGTAGCCTGTGAATTCGACATCATGTAGCCAAATTATTGTGGCTTTATGAACTCCTGTGGGCCAAACATAGAAAGTTTTCCCAAATTTTATGTTCGCACTACCTGTTTAGAGAGTTATTTATACGCAAATTCACTAATGAGTTTCACACATAGAACATATGAGAGAATTGTCAAACAATTTGATAACTATGGAAGAAAAGAACAATTACAACAAGGAAAAACAAATCATACTAGAAGCCATGCTTTGGTGAGAAGAACTTGTATTTAAACTGTTTTTATGTTTTTTGTTTGGAAGCTTTTAACTTGCACCAGAGATGAAAGATATAAGAGAAGGCAAGGGAAGACATTGTGTATTTATAATAGAAATGAGTGTTTCCTTTTTTCTTTTTGTAGACCACCAAAGGAGCCTTATGACATAAAAATCTTAGTATTAAATGTTGACAAAATCTCACCCTTAAAAAAGTTGGGTGGATGGTAAAAATCTTATACTAAATTGGGTGGAACACAATTTAATTAGAACTAATCTTCATAACAAAGTTTCAATGGAGGCATAATTTATTTAAAACAATTAAGTATATTTTATTTATTTAGTATTTGTTTATTTAGTATTTGTTTAATTGACTTACAAAATGAAAAGCGCAACAAAAAGAAAAACAGATTTGGGTGTTACATTTATAGATCATATTAAAAGAAAAACAGATTTGGTTAATTAGTGTTTTTTTTTTTTTAATGTAGTTAAAACAATATAAAATTTATTATCTAATTTTCAATTTTTCCCTAAACTAAATAACACCTTGAGTAATTCAGATAAAGTTAACAAAGTAATTAAAATGATAGAAAAAAAAATCAGAATCCTTGTAGTATTTTCTTTTGATTGGCGAAAACATTAATTAAAACATATATAAACATAATAAAGCCACCAAGTTGTGTTTTTAATTAATATTAACCTAAATTGATTTAATATTAACAATTATAAGTTGACACATGAGACATGACAAATCTTAAATAACTTTTTATGAAAAAAAAAAGAAACAGACATGAATAGGTTTGATGAACGACTAAATGAGACAAACATTTGTCTTATACTGCACTGGTATTCTAAGTCACATTCGTAGAAATGAAGAAAACTAGAAGGAACGATTCAAATTCTTTTACTTTTGAACATATGGGGTTTTAATTAAGTTTAAAAAAATACCAAAAATATTCAGATCGTTCCACATTTTTTTCCTGTAAAGAGTTTCCAATTATGGTACAACTTGCGGAAACTATATCACTTTATGTCATTGCACTCGTGCCTTGAACACATCATGTTGATCTTCCCAGAGATGAAGATCAGACCCAGCCAAGAGTAGCGGAGGTGGAGGAGAGTATATGCACAGTTAGGTCACCAATTTGTTTTTCAGACAGTGTCGTAGCCTCCAACAACTACTTCCTTAAACCATCTTAATTAGTGCTTAACATGTGTACCAGATGAGCCAATTATTTCAATGAGACACACCACTTGTAACTAGTTATCGAATCAAAAGTAAGTAGAGAAACACCATCCCTTATTCCCTTGTTTTAACTCGTAATAAATCATAAGCCAAGCTTATGATTTTTAGGAGCTTTTTCCATTTTTAAACTCTTATCATCCCGCACATTGATTTCGTAACAAAAGTGACGTGTCCGTGCGCCGAAAAATAGAGACAATTGTGATGTTAATTATGATGTGAAATCTCAAATAAAATGCTAACATTAAGGAAATGCAATATGTGCAATCTCAAATATTCTATAATATATGATATATTCGGCTGTTCAACGCTACATCATTTTTTATTTGTTATTTCACCAGATGACCTTAAATATAACTTTTACTAAGACATAATGGAAAATTTTATTTCATTATTTTTAAGGTTTAGAACGAACAATATATTAACTATCCACTAACAATGACATAAAAATGAAAGCTAAAATAAAACACTTTATAATAGGGAAATTGTTAAAAATACCCTTTTTGGTGTGCCCCTTTTCAAAAATACCTCTTTTAGATGTCCATTTTCAAAAATGTCCTTTTTTAAATCTGAAATTTTTATAAAGTTTTATTAGGTTTATAAGGTACTTATGGATTGTAACTACTACTTGAAGACTCGATCCAAGTATTTATAAGGTTTTATAAGGTGTTTTTAAAGGTTTTACAAGTTATTTTAAAGGATTTTTAAGGCTTTTCAAAAGTTTTACAAGATATTTTAAAAATTTTTAAAGGTAATTAAAATGCATTTGTAAGGTATTTATAAAGTATTTATAAGATTTTAGATACATAGAAATGTAGTTTGTGTATGTTTTAATAATATTACATACATATTTGGGTAAATCTTATATTTTTAAGAGCATTTTTTAAAAGGTTTAAAAAGAGATATTTTTGAAAAGTGGCATTTTTGCAAAAGCCCCTTTATAATATAGTACGATAGTTTTGCTCTCCAATTATTTTCTTTATGTAGAGTTTCACCATATCTTCAAAGCCCAAGGTTTCCGAGCCAAATACGGATCTCATTCATTACATGATCCCTGCACACATGATATAACTCAAATTTAGAGATGTATGTTAGGAAAATTGTAATCAAAGCAAAACTTATTGAATTAATCGATGTTTAGACGACCCTCCGCATTGTTTGAACAAGGTTGGAAATCCAGACATTCGAAGGGAGTCAGCACATTTGTATCCAAATGCAGAGGGAATAACATCATCAGCTGTACCAAGAAAAAACGAAAAAAAAATTAATTATTGGCATGATCTCGCTATTCTTAACTAATACTATTATATATAACTTGTTTCACATACAAGTTCCATGCATAAGTAAGATTCGTGATGTTGCAGCACGATTTGCTGTCCCAAAATTAGTATTACACATATTGTATTCTAAGCTCCTGCAAGATTGAGTTTGATTTTCCATTATTAAAACGTACATTTATAAAGATAAGTTTTAAGAATTTGTGAAAATTGATATAATTAAGGCTACCTCCAGCCAGGAAGCCAACCATTGATCCCTATAACAATTTGTGGGCTTATAGGAACCCATCCAAAAGCATAACAACTCGTATAATAGAGAGCTTGTGCTGCACCCAATCCAACTCCTCCTAATCCTTTCATAACTACCACAACCAAAATTAACATATTAGTTAATTAATCATGTATATATTAGATAGATACCATATAGTCTGAATTTTGCATGTTAAGTATAGATTATTTAGAAATACCATTTTGTGGTTCAGAAGAGAAAATTCTGGTAATATATTCATTTACATAATTTAAATTTTCATAATCATCTAGCATGTTCTCAGAAGCTTTTGTCATGTCGCACCCTGATTCATCATAGAGGTTTTATAAATACATAAATACAATGTTATTAGTTTTCAATTCTTGTAATATTTTATAAGGGACATAAAATCTTTTTTTCCCAATACAATTTAAAGCCACAAATAAACTTACATGCAGTGGTTACCTCCCCACCCAAGGAGGTAACGGGACGCTTAGGAGCAGTCGGGCAAATCCATTTTATCTATGCCATATCATAAATTTGGATTAGAAATTAAACTTCAATTAAAAAAAATCCATTTTGGCTATAAGGAAATTAAGTTCATGCAAGGTGAAACATGTATGTTGATAGATCCATACATTGGGATGCTTCAAACGTCCCAGAGCCGTATGTGAGCTGCATATATAATAGATATACATATATATTGAGAAAAAATTACATTTTTTTAGTAAAAATAATAATAATGAAAATATAAAATTTTAATGAAACGAACTCAATATCATTCTTGGCATCACTATAAAATTTATATACAAATAAAAGTTCACCAAAAAAAGCATAGAGCGGTTAAAATTAGTGTTTGTGAATCAATACAAGATTCAAGTTTTTAGTAAAAAAACAAGAACCGCCAAGAAAAAGAGTTAAAAATTGAAGTACTTGCAAATCATGTTTGTAAATAAAACGATACAATATATAGTATGTTAGAGTGTTACTAGTAGCCTGTGGATTCGACATCATGTAGCCAGATTATTGTGGCTTTATGAACTCCTGTGGGCCGAACAAAGTAAGTTTTTCCAAATTTTATGTTTCCACTACCTGTTTAGAGAGTTATTTATACGCAAATTCACTAATGTGTTTCACACATAGAACACATGAGAGAATTGTCAAACAATTTGATAACTATGGAAGAAAAGAACAATTACAACAAGGAAAAAAAAAAATCATACTAGAAGCCATGCTTTGGTGAGAAGAACTTGTTTTTAAACAGTTTTTATTTTTTTGTTTGGAAGCTTTTAACTTGCACTAGAGATGAAAGATATAAGAGAAGGCAAGGGAAGACATTGTGTATTTATAATAGAAATGAGTGTTTCCTTTTTTCTTTTTGTAAACCACCAAAGTAGCCTTATGACATAAAAATCTTAGTATTAAATGTTGACAAAATCTCACCCTTAAAAAAGTTGGGTGGATGGTTCCTAAATTGGGTGGAACACAATTTAATTGGAAATAATCTTCATAACAAAGTATTAATGGAGACATAATTTATTTAAAACAATTAAGAATATTTTGTTTATTTAGTATTTGTTTAATTGGCTTACAAAATGAAAAGCGCAACAAAAAGAAAAACAGATTTGGGTGTAACATAATCCAATAATTTTATAGATCATACTAATTGGGGGAAAACCCCTCTATAGGGAAATTGACACTTCATCAAATTGTTATTTAAGGTTTTATAACTTTTATCTTAGGATGATTAAGTAGTTTTGTTTAAAAGTAGTAAATACAATATAATATTTTTTTTATCTAATTTTAAATTCTTCCTTAACAAAATAATAATAAGAAAAATTTCTATAAAAATAATGTTAACAAAGTAATTAAAAACAATAGAAAATTCGTCATTTTATAGTATTTGTTTTTGTTTGGCGAAAACATTAATTAATACACGTATAAACATAATAAAACAACCACGTTACTGGATTTTGTATTAATAATTATTAACCTAAATTCATTCAAAATTAATAATTATAAGTTTGACACATAGAAAATTTTTCGAAGAGAAATTGTCATCAATTAATCCTATTAAACTAAAATTAATTAAGGTCTCTCATCAGCTTTTTAATGTTATTTTGATTTTGTGATTTATGATTTAATTTTTATTATAAAAAGTTATTCTATACTCCATTTATTACAGATGTTTTCACACATATTAAGAAATCACAAAAAATATCATTTAAGTTACTTTCTTTACATAAAAAATCATTAACTACAACTAATTCAACTAATAAGAAAACATAGTGTAAAATATAATTGGTAAAATTATATTAAATAATCCCTATGCTTTTTATTTATTTGATGTTTTAGTAGTTTTTTTTTTAAATTAGATGATGCATGCTTTCAACTTTTGATTTAAAATTAATTAGTTTTTTTGTTGATTTGATGATTTATATTCTATAAATTGTATTTAATATGTTGCGCTTTTGGTGTATTTTGTCCCTTGATTAGCATTTGTTATGAGTCGTTTATCATGCCGAACTCCGTCTTTTCCATATTTTTGGTCGTCTCTTGAGTCTTGTATAAGTTCAAAGTGCTTATGCTGGATTTGGACGTTTTCGAGCATTATTGGCCTTATTCGGGCCAAGAATGTTAGAGAGAAGAAGGAGATAGGAAGGGACCGATCTATCGGTCTAGGTGCCTCTGGGAAATCACAAACCGTCATCGATATTCAATTATAAAAATATTGCTGATATTTTCAATATCTTAGCTTAGGAAGTTTACATTTTTTATGAATAAACCAATTGGGAAACTTAGATCTATTATATTTTTTGTGAATGTAAAATGTATCTTCATTCTCATGAGAATGTAATTCTCGATTCTTCCATACATTTGTATAACTGCATTTACTTCCTTCGAGAATCTGTTTCTATGTAGAGAGTATATGTTTTCAGTTTGATTAAGCAAGTTAGAAACTGCTCAACTTTTAAAACATTAAATATCATGAAAATTTGTAATCTAATTATAGTTTGTGTTAATGGCATCGTTGTGCCACAATCCAAGTTCAAATGTAGTATAATATTTATTAATTAAAAATATTTCATAAAAAAAAAAGTACTCAATTAAGATTTAAGTAAACCTCTTATCTATATAACATTAAACGAAGACATAAATTTTAGTTTTTTTTCTAAGATTCCTAAAGAAGAGTACATCGCCTATATAAAAATGATTATGAATCAGAAAAAGAGATAATAAAAATAAAATATTTTATAATATATATTACATGATAGGTTTGCTCCCCAATTCCTTTCTCTATGCAGTGTTGAGCATTGACCCTAGGGTTGGAGTTTTGTTGCGATCCATAAGCGAACATCATTGATTACTTGGGGAACAATTGGAAGATGATCCCTGCACAAGGCATAATCCCAAAATTAGATTCAGAAAAATAAAATCAATTGGTGATTAAAGCAAAACAAAGTGAAGTTAATTCATGTTTAGACCCTTCGTTTGGTATGAACGTGACTGGAAATCCAGCCATGCGAAGAGTGTCGGAACTTTTGCGTCCGAGTGGGAAGGGAACTATATCATCAGCTGTGACACAAAAGAAAGGACAAGAATCAGCATCATCTCACAATTGATATCTAAGTCGTAAAGTAGATAATATAGATGGCAATATACACATACAAGTTCCATGTGTTAGTAAGATTGATACTGATGGAGCAAGACTTGGGGACCCATAATCAAATGAGAGATTGTGAAGTAAGTTTCTGCAAGATTGAGTTAGGTTTCCATATTTTAAAGGGTTGTAACTTAAGTTTCCTTAAGAAATACTGACCCAGGTAAAAATCATTTTTGGGTCCGCCACTGCTAATAAGTGACATTAATTAGGGTTTCAAGAGCCTACCTCCAAGCAGGAAGCCAGCCGTTGATCCCTACAATAAAACTTAGGTTTCTGATTTTTCGTCCAGTGATATAAAAAGTCGCCAAGTAGAGAGCTACTGCTGCACCCAAGCCGATACCTCCTAGTCCTATCTTGACTATCAAGCCAATTGGATTAATAGATTTGATAAAGAAATTTGATGCATACTATAAGTATAAACTAAGGATTTGACGTATATATAATCATTAAGGGTTACCATTTTCTGGTTCGTCACGCAAAAGGTTAATTACAAATGCAGCTATTGAGTTTAAGGAAACCAAATCATCTTCCATATTCTCAGAAATTTCTGTGACATCGCACCCTAATTCATCAAATTAAAAGATTTTAAATACAATGTTATTAGTTTTTAATTAAAAAATTTAGAAGACATTATTAATAGTGTCTTTTTGAAATTTAAAGCCAACTATATCTTACAAGCAGTAGTTTCAATTCCACCCCAGGAAGTAACGGGACGTTTTGGAGCGACCGGACAAATCCATTTTACCTAGACATAGAAATCATAATTTCCTATTAGAAACTTCAATAAAGTTTCCATTTGGGTAAAAACAAAATCAGATTAATGGCGAAATTAACGTGTTCATGGATCCATACATTTGGAAGATTCAATTTACGTACAAACTTAGTTGAGCTGCAGAAAGAATAGACATCAATATAGTGAGAGATGAATGGTATGATATAATTAAAGAATCGTTATTATTCTTTGTAGGGCAACCAAGATTTTATATGCAAATAAAACTTCACAAATAAGAAAAAGAGGCAAATTCAGAATTTGTGTAATTAATATTTGTAAAACATGCCAAATTCAAATTCTAAAAACACTTTTTAGTTTCATTTTCTTCCATTTCAAAAAAAAAAAAAAAAGATTTAAAAGTTGAAGATTTTCCAAAACATTTTTATAACTTAATTACTAGAATAGGTTACTTCGATACTTAAAGACAACGAATCATGTAAAAATAAAAATTAAAGCAATGTGATTGTGTTACTCGAAGCCTTTCTGCCCGATGTCGTGAAGCCAGACTATAGTGGCCTTGTGAATTCCTGTAGGGTAAACTATTTTAGTGTTTCTACATGCAATGCCACTACCTGTATATATTGTAATATGTTTAATATATCCATTACAACCAGAGATACAACATAACTACAGAAAAAAATCATGACCAATCAACAAGGAAACACATACTAGAAGCCATGTTTTGAATAATCACTTCTTTCAAAAACTTATAGATTTCACTAGAGATGGAATATGTAAGGGGAAGGTATTGTGTAATATTAATCAAAGAAGTGCTAAGAAAGAAAAGCCTTATTATTAAAATTAAAGTTGGGTGCATGAAAAAATCTTCTTATTAAAAGTTAGATCTCATTATACTGGCAGATCTAGAATAATCTTTTTTTGGAGACATATTTAATTATTTAATATAAAACAAAATAACTTTAGTAGTAATTAGATATCATTTTAATATTTAGTGAAACGAAAAACTGCCAAAATAATAACTTTGGTAGTAAAATATCTTTAAATTAATAAACTATCAATATTTTTCTCAATGGATGTCTAAATAAGTAGTAAAATAAGAATAATAAATTTCTGGTCCCAATTTGGACAAAAAAAAAAAAAAACTTTTTGAAAAGTTAGTAAGATTATATATATTAAACCTATGTAAGTATCTAGTTTTCTTAAAATCATAACTAATGATTGAAACTATACCCAAATCATATATACGAAAGGAGGTAAACTTTCATATATCTGATTTTAAAAAAAATTGTTTACAAAATTACAAAGAAATTATGTTCAGTATAGGGGGTGATTGGAAGAGACTTTAAGGGCTTTAGATTTTTTTTAAAGTCTTAAAAGCCAAATATTTACCAATCACAATTTTAGGACTTTAGGTTTTTTTTTAAGTTTTTAAAGTCTAACTGCCCACTTTTTTTTTTACGTTCAATTTTCTAAAGTCTTAAATATGAGGCTTTCAAACAAATAATAAAACTTCAAAATAAATAATAATTAAAAACTTTCTTTTTTTTTCTCCTCATAATAATTAGAATCTTTCTACATATTTACATATATTGTTTCACAAATATTTTTTAATAAATTATTTCTTATCATTTTTTAAGATCCATTTCAATAATAATCATTTTATTTTCATAATCACCATTAATATTGGTAGAAAAGAGTTTATAGAATAGTATTTTTAATAAAACATATACTTTCATATAGGTCATTCAATTATTTCATAAATTGCTTCATCATTAATAGTTTTATTGATTTTTGATTACTCAAAATTATACAACTACTCAACAAAAAATAAACATTCAAAACACTATTATTAGCCATGTTTTGATTTTTAGTTTATCCACTTTTTAATGCAATGTTTGGTTAGTAAACACGAATGAATAATACATATTTCATTTATTTATTGAGAATATTTTTGGGGCTTTTGCAAAAATGGCACTTTTCAAAAATACCCCTTTTTAAAAACCTTATAAAAAATGTTCTTAAAAATATAAGATTTACCCAAATATGTATGTAATATTATTAAAACATACACAAACTATATTTCTATGTATCTAAAATCTTATAAATACTTTATAAATACCTTATAAAGACATTTTAAATACCTTTAAAAACCTTTAAAATATCTTGTAAAACCTTTGAAAAACCTTAAAAATCTTTTAAAATAACTTGTAAAACCTTTAAAAACACCTTATAAAACCTTATAAATACTTGGATCGAGTCTTCAAGTAGTAGTTACAATCCATAAGTACCTTATAAACCTAATAAAACTTTATAACAATTTCAGATTTAAAAAAGGGCATTTTTGAAAATGGACATCTAAAAGGGGCATTTTTGAAAAGGGGCACACCAAAAGGGGTATTTTTAACAATTTTCTATTTTTCTATGCATTTATTTATGATTTTTTGTATTGTTCTAAATTCTTATCAGTAAGAAAATTATATTGTCACATGAATTTATTTATAATATTATTTATATTTATTATGAATATATATAATCCTACAAAAATAATAGTCACAACCTCTACAGCTTTACTACTAATCAGAGTTTAACAGCCAAAGTTTTTACAGCCAAAGTCTCTGCAGTCAAAGTTTCTACAACCGAAGTTCTTAAAGTCAAAGTCTTTACAGCCAAAACTAACAACCTCTTCCAATCACCCCTTTAGTATTCTTCCTTTGGAAAATGCATTTTCAGTTTAATACAGCAATTAGGAAGTATTTGGATTTTCTATGAAGAGAACTTGGAAATTCCAAACAGACAAAACATAAATATAAAACCCCTTTATTAAAGACGAAGAATCCACCATGGACAAAAGAACAAACGACAAAATAAATCACAAAATAACGAACCATGAACTATATATACCCCAAGAAACCCAACCATTATACATTATACTATCTCAAGTCTACACTAGTTTTCTTTCACGCTCTCCACCAATTCCTTTTCATTCCCATTTATTCTTTCTTCTAACGGTTGATCATATCGTTTATATAGCTAGATGCATCGCACTGTAGTTTAGCACGAGCCCTCAAGCCCGAGCCTCGCTGTGAGCCAGTGAACGACCTCATTCATTTCTTTGGGAACAGTATAGTGACCAAGTCTGCACATTGGCATAAACCCAAAACTCTTTATAAATATGTTCAAACAAATTAGTTATTAAATAAAATCATTTTGTATTCACTAAAGTTTTAATTACCCTTCGTATGGTTTGAACATGGCTTGTCGAAATCCAGCCATGCCAAGAGACTGCGCAGATTTCTCTCCAAACCTATAAGGAACCACATCATCGGCTGTGACACAAAAAAATCAGTAAAGATCATCTTAGCGCGGACATTACTAAAAGGGGAAACTGAAAATATATTTTACAAACAGACTTGTTTACACATACATGTCCCATGTGTAAGGATGATTGGTAACGACGCAGCACGCCTTGCAGCCTCATATGAACATTCTATTTTGCTCCTTATTAAGCTCCTATAAAGTTAAGTTAGCCTTCTATCAGTAAAAAATAAAAATAAACTAGGCAACATTAAGTTAAAAGAAAACAATGTTTGTATAACATGAGGGCTTGAGAAGTTATTACTTCCAACCAGGAAGCCAGCCGCTAAGCCCTACAACAGCTCGTAGGTTTAAAGGATACGCATGGCCAGTTCCATAACGTCCAAGAGCATAACAAGTCGCGGAGTAGAGAGATATTGCTGCTCCCATGCTAAAACCTCCTATGCCCACTTGAACTATCAAAATCAGAAGAGCAAGTCAATGATTTAGCCAGGCCCGGTCATGTAATATTCATGACCCAATACGAAATAAAAAATCTGAGGGTTCTATATGTAAAATAATACTACAAATATTGTCAAAAATAAAAGTTTTCCAAAAATTAGGGACTCTAACAAACCTTCTTCTAACTAATTCACTTGTTGTCCTCATTAAATATTTAAAAAAAAAAAAAAATGTGCCTCTATTTTTGTATGGCCTTATACACATGTATCATAAAAATAGGTGCAGGGTCGGGCCTGGATTTAGCTAAAGATCGACGATGCATAGTACATTCCTAAAATTCAAGTTTAGATGATTTTGGCTTACCATCTGCTGGTTCAGCAGACAAAAGATTAGCAATATGCGAAGCTGAGGCATCTAAACCTTCCAAATCATCATGACCATCTTCAGAAATTTCCCCAACGTCAAACCCTGATTGTAACTACCGTTAATTCAGTTTCTAGTATTACTTTAGAGACAACAAAGAATGATTCTTGAAGTTTTCAAATGAGAGAACTGATCTTACAAGCAGTGCAGGTAAATCCACCAAGACTTGTAACAGGACGCGAAGGAGCAGTTGGACAAATCCATTTTATCTGTGCAATAGCATAAATGTTTTGATGGTGGATTTATTACAAAACATGTTTAATAGATTCTTACATTTGGAAGATGCATGCAAGCTTTCCATGAGCTGAGATGAGCTGTAGCAAAACAGAGACAAATGTGAGAAACGCATGTATGTTTCAATTGTTGTTTATTTTGGATTAATTTACAAAACATGGAATATTCTTTTTTATATGAGACGATGAAATTGTCTTGTTAATTCTCTACAAATGTCTTACCAAAGGTATAAGTTTTGCTTATGATTTTATATATATATATATATATATATATATATATATATATATATTTAATGACAAATTTTAATGAACTAAACTTAATATTCCCATTAGAGAAGACATTTGAGAGGAAAGGTACAATGGAAATACCAATTAATTCTTTGCGGCGCCACAACATTTATTTACAAATAATACTTCAAAAATAACTAAAGAAAAAAAGAAGCAGCGCATATACAATTTGTTCTCTAAAGTTGGTATTAGAGAACATGCCCAAATTCAACTTTCGAAAACTCTTTTGTTTTTTCTTCCATTTAAACACACCCAAAAGATGAAGCTTTTTCCTAAAACATATATTTATACTTAAGACAAGAAGAGCAAGCACCAAGCAGGAGTTTATGCTTCAAGAGGTTAGTTTGATTCTTTTAAGACACAAACAAAAAAAAGAGCATAATAATCGAAAGAGTCATGTGAAGAGTGTTACCTAGACCCATTGTCACCAAGTCCATGAAGCCAGACTAGAGTGGCTTGATGCTTTCCCTTAGGCCTCACAACATAAGTCCTTCCAAATTCATATCCCCTTGCATTTCTACTTCCTTCAAAGATTATACCAAATACAGAGTCGTCATAAACAACTTTCAAGCAAAAAGAACTTAGTTTTTTAAGATAACAAGAGAAACTTTAAGCCAATTAAAACCCAAACCAATCCTTGGAATAATCTATCTAAAATATCATACAATAAACAATTTTGGTCACAACAAGTACCACTAACATTAACATGAACAATGAAGAAGGGGGAAAAACAAACCAGAACCCATGCTTTGACGAGAGTAACTCATTTTTGGATCAAGTGTATTGAATCCTCTTAAAGTTTTGTAATTTGTCTTCTGAAGAGCTTTCAAGTTTCAAAATACAAAGAAGTGATGATGGTTAATATATGAGCAGGCAATGTGTATTTATACACCAAATTAAAGGGTATGGTTGATGTGGAAATGTGGAATAAAAGAAAAGATGTGAATCTGAATCATTCACTATAGGATGCTTCAATGTGTACAACAGCTAACAAAAACTACTAGAATGGGAATGAAAGGAGAAAACTATAGACGTATAGAGGATGCATCCATGGAAAAGGAGTGCTTAAATAAGATTAAAGAAAAGAAAATTCAGTATTTTTCTTTAAACAGCAAAAGAAAGAAATCCTTTTGGAAACACAAGGAATATAGTAGGGAAACCCAATATAGTAACAAATAAAATAAAATAAAACACAGCAGAGAGCTAGCGGTAAACAAGAAACAGAGAGAGAATCAATGCCTTGTGGGCAGTGGTGGAGGGGAAAAAATTAAAGAAACACCAAATAACTTTTTCTCATACTAAAAGAATATTTGTTCTATATAACAACAATACATATTTTTACCTGAAACATTAGGCATAATCCAAAATTGTAAAAGAAGAAAAATCCTGCAAACTTTGTGAGAAAATCCTGCGAACAAAAACAAAAAAACTAAAATTTGGATTTGTAATTAAGGGTTTTGTTTTATCTAAGGGTTCTTGGATATATAATAAAGATTTGGATCTACCGAAATGATGGCAAGTGTGGAAAAAACATAAGAGAGCAACCTGGATTTTTCAGGTGGGGTGAAGAAGATATTGAAGAAAAAGACACAAATCTTTTTCATCAATTTCAACGCTTTGTTCATTGCTGTGTTCTGTTTGCCATTGATAATGCTTATTGCTCAGTGCCCACCAATAGATTCAAATCTTTTGGGTTTCCCAGTACCGGTGTGTCAGGACTGAGGAGCCCATTTCACCCAAATTTTTGTTAAAATAATAAATCCACAATTATAATTTTTTTCATCTACAATTCACACACAAACAAAATCCTAGGTTTACTCTTTTCAGTGGATATTGTTCATCACGAGTTTATAGTAATACAAAACATATATTTGTTAAAAGTAAAACATTTTGACAGGTTTTGATATATTATAATTTTTTAAAGAATTTTTAGAAGTATTTATAAACTTTCATAAAAATCACTTTTTATGTATTTCCTATAGAATTGATGTTTCAAAAATATAAAAGGAGATGTAAGGGGAATAATGGGAAGGTGAGTAGGTCTGAGAACATGCACCACAATGCATGTGTCACCTGTAGTATCCACTCTTCATAGCCCAATCAGCCATCATTTCCATTTTCTCAATTTTATAGATTGATATAAATTTGAAGTTGGTGGGTCAGTACAAGAATTTATTCTTATCGAAATCAGAAATAGTAATGAAAGTGATTGTTTAATCTACTAATGACACTTTGTTCAAAAAAAATAAAAATTCTACTACTGACTTTTCTAAATAACTATAGGAGCCCAAAAACAATTTCTATTAAGGATTTTTTCTAAATAATTATATGAACTAAGATTTATCTAGTTTGCCACAAATCTAAGCAAAAATAATTAGATTAACATATAAGATAAATAAAATGACCTAACATAGACCAACCCCATTTTTTGCCATTTATATTAAAATGACAATAATTAAACGGAAAATTTAAAAAGAAAATAAGCAAAAAATAAAAATAAAAAATCTTATTTGCCATTTTTTTTTAAAATGATAGCAATTAAACAGAAATTTAAAAGCAAAAAATAAGCAAAAATAAGCAAAAAAAATAATAAAAAAATTACAAAATCAATCGAATTCCCCATAAACACAAAAAAAAAATGTGTTTTCTCAAAAGCGTAATGCTTGCATATTTTTAATCCTTTCTCTAAGAGATTTATGGAATGATTACTACTATCTGAACACATGGTTCTAAATATGATAGTAGCATTTTGGAGAGAAGTGATTGTTACCTGAAAATAATTATGGAAATGGTTGACTTAGTTTATAGGGTACAAAAACTAGTGGAAAATGACATTAACCTTTTGCTTAAACAATGGCGGTATCTTATTAGATTAGTTTAATTTCTTACGAATGTCAAGCAATTTGCAATTTAATTATATTTGTACAGTGAAAATATATTTCGTCTTAAGTCAACTCTATTTATACCCCCACATTTAAGACGAAAATATATTTCGTCTTAAATATATTGTTGGTATTTCAGCACTACAATGCTAACTCGTTGATGGTATTTAAAGGTGCATAGTATTTTTTTTTTTTTTTTGTTAAAGGGTTTTCTTAAATAAAACAGAAAGTATACAAAGAAGAAAATACCAAACCATTACAACAAGAAAATTAAAAAGAACTAGTAACTAGAACCAAGAGGACGAAAGATCTAAACAAAAAAAGCTTGAATAAAGGAAGGAGACAAAACCTAAACTTTTGTAGACTTAGGTAATCCAGCATTTAAGAATGGAACTCCCACGCTTTAAGCCTAGATGAATCATTGATTTACACTTATTCTCCATGGTGGAAATAATGAGCCGTGTAACAGTAATCGGAGATAGGGAGAGACCGTCATGAAAACGTCTATTCCTCTCTTTCCACAGTTCATAAATCGCACCCTGTCAGCCTTGAAGAAGAGCAAGTTTTTTTGTGCTTAGATACTGAAGTTGTTGGCAGCCAAATACTGAAGGTGCATAGTATTTGCTTGTTCGTATGGTTAAAAGGCTAATTAAGCCCATTGTAAGTTTATGCGTTTTAATTATGCTAATTAGGATAAAACTCAGCATTATATTTAAAATAATTTGGAAAATAATTTTTTTCCGAAAGTTAGTGAATTTAATAATGTATTATACATGATATCGATTGAGAAAAATTAATATATATATAAGAGCGAATGCAAAATACGCAAAATAATGAAGACAACAAGTAAAATTTTACAAGACATATTTATAGACATTCCAAACGTTGATGTGTTTAAATTTTTGAAATATGTGTTGCGTGTCGAATTAAGACACATGGTAGATTAAGAATTGTAAGTGTGTGATTTACATTAATTAAGAGTATTAATGTTTTACGCTAAGTATATGTCTCATTGTTTAATTATCTTTATTGAGTAGACGTTTGTGAACAAAAGTAAGGTAGCTCGCTAGGGTTCCTACCATTGTTTATGCTTAATTAGTTTATAGAAATTTTTTTAAAAAACTTATCTTAGCTAAAGAATATCCCCTATATATTAATTGAGAAGCATTTTAAATAAAAAACCTTACCTTCACGTGTGATTTATAAGACTGCCATGCTGACATGTCGCAACCAGATAAACTATGAGCAAACTTAATAATTGTCCAATATTTACTAGACTAATTACATATAATGTCATTAGTGGTACTTATGCATATTTTTCCTCTATATTTAAGAGATTAGCAATTAATAAAGGAAATTAATTAATAAAAACTATATATATTGACGAAACAAGTAAAAAGTATATAGCATAAATCATGATGAACAATATATAATATAAATGTTAATTATATGTTTTGTACTTATATTTTCTTATATGTTTTATAAAAAACATTTAGAATTTTAACATATATGACATTTTATTTTTTGTTATAAATTACAAAACATCTAAATATATATGTGAGCCCATATGTTTCCTAAATATATTTGGAACATAGTTTTACATAAATTAGTTAGTAACATTTCATTTATTACACATTCACTATGAACAATATTTCAATATTAATCTATGTTAAAAATGTATCCGCTTACTCATTATTTTCAATACTATTTCTTTTCAAATTTTTACCTTATCAATTTATTAAAACTTCTACACGGTTTATTCAATTTAATTAGTCATTTACTCATTTTAGTTACATTTTATTTACAACCCAATACCTTATCGTACCAATATAAATTGATTCATAAAATGAGGGATATGCAATAAATCAATCCTAACTACATAGAATTATCAAGAATAATAAAGGATAATAAAATTTATTACGTTTAAAAAATAATTATTCATACTCTTTTCAGTTTTTATATTGAATTGTTTCCAAAATAAAATCTTAATTAAAATACAAAAAATATTCGAATATATTTCAGAATTGTAGGAATGATATTTCAAAAAAAAACTTTGGTCAATATTTTAATTTAAAATCTTATTCCAAATATGGAATATCCTAATTCCTAACTAATAAAATCTCCAAAATATATGAGTTACTAAATCATATTCAAATATTCACACTTATATATCAAGTGATAATATATAATCGGTTTCCAAAAAATTGTTTATATATTTCATATAACTATTTCTTCCCGCACTATGTGCGGGTAAATCATCTAGTTGTTATTTAAAGCACATACAAGAAAATCATATATATTTACGATAATCAATAAGTTTTATACTGAAAAATATATTAATAGAGTATTCTAGTGATCTATAACTCTTCGATCTGCATCATCGCATTCCATTCCATTGGCTTATATTAAGATTTGAATTCTTCTAATAAAGGAATGCAAAATCACTCATTAAGTAAAAGAAAAAAACAGTGCACAATAACCAAATGTGTGTCTGGAGCAATGCTATTAGACCAACGCCTCTTACCGATCGAGTTAAAGTAAAAACATTCAAAAGATTCATATGAACAAAATAAATGAAAGTATGAATGAAAAGGAAATTTAATAATGAGGGCAAGCTGTGTGGATCTTTAAAGAAGTATGGTGATTAGTCTGAAATAGAAAGGAAATAGAAACTCCAACATTCGTTTTCTTGAGATTGTTTTTATTATTAGACTTTTCGAATTTTTGGCAGAATCAATTCTCTAAGCATTTTTTTATATTTTCTTGGTAGGTTTTGTTTTGGGTTCATACGGTGTCATAAAACAATGTTTTAAATGAAAAAAGAAAAACTTTTTACCAAAAATGTTTTCTCACTTTTAAATTCATAGTTTTTAATTCATAATATGTCTAATTTTCTATATAAACAAATCGGATGAAAACTATCCACTTTGAAAAATGAATATTACATATATACAAGTAAAATTGAATCTTTGTTCAATTGATTTTAGCCGTAGAAAAGGAAAAGATATTTGTTAGAAAAAAATAGGAAAGAAGATTTAGGAATACATCTTTGTATAGTAATGGAGAATATAAAAACGGTTTTGATGTTACATCGTATGTTCTTGTTCTTTTTTTTTTGGTGAGTGTATGTTCTTGTTCTTTATATTCCCCTTTTGGTATTATTATAAATAAATAAATAAACTAAAATGGATGCTGGTTTAATTAGTAGTACTTCACCAATTAAGGAAATCGAGTTTCTTCCTTTTTATTCTTTAATTTGTTTTTTTTGTTTGGTTCGGGCATCTTCGTTCGCTTGTCTTGTTCAGGGTCTCTCCCGAAAACAAAATAAAAATGTAACACCGAATCTGGTCTGGCTTCGTTGCCATATAAGAGTTATATTCATTGTTGGAAAATTTAACGATGCAAATTAAGCCACCAGGCACGATATTTTATAGTTTACGAATTTTTATATCAGAAAGTAGTATTATTCCATAATACACATACGTTATTACTTTCTCCTATTACTGTTGTTGGAAAATTATGCTATACATATCATAAGTCAAATGCTATACATATCATAAGTCAAATGTTTTATAGAAGACTTAAAGTTATAGGTGTGACTTGGTATTTAAGGTTCCTGATCAAAAATGTCATAAAAAGAATGATTTCATTTATTTAATTATATGGTAAGAGGCCAAATGTCAAATATATCAATGACGGCTGTGTTAGCTGATTATGGCTTTTATGAAAAATATCGGTAGGTCGACATAGACGACAAGCCAATTGGATTTCAGGGGTTCTCTAGGCATTTTTTTTTACCACAAAACATACACATCATGAACACCAAAACTATATATTATAATTCAAAAAAGAGGAATGATTCTGACTCGAGAATCATTCATAAAAACAAAAGGCTCACGAGTATTTTAAAGCAAAAAGGGTTAAGAGTCTAGAGGCATATTGGTGGTGTCCTCTCGAGGATCAAAAAACATATTCAAGTGTTTTCATTTTTCACCAGCGAGAAATATTTATTGCACTCACCAAAATAGAAGAATTTTTTTGCGGTTGAGATAACACTGGAATTAATGGTGGTGGTCTTCGTCGTCACCGTGACCATCTGGTGGTCCGCCTGGACCAACCACTTCGAGCTGCCAAACAAACATGAAACAAAGTTCAAAAAACCTCCACCATTATTTTTGCTCTCTTGAAATTTGGTTAGATTCTAAGTCATAAGAACATTGAAGGCCAAGTTTAACTTACCTCGAAGTATTGAGAGCACACTGGACATTCAAATGACTTTCCTTTCTCTAGCCAGAACCATACGACGTCGTGTTCATCCTCTGGGAGATATAAGAACACAACAAATGATTGGTAAATGGATCCAACGACCAACAGTGATCAAATGACAAAAGAAAATCTATTTAAGAATATGGCATCAAAATGATAACTTACCGCCTTCACCACCAGGGCATCCGACAATTCTCTTGTCATAGTAGGACTTTACGACAGCGGGAGATTCCTGGAGATGATAGGATTTTGAATCAAGAGCTTACCAAAAAAAGGTTCATAATAGTAAACTCAATGACCTCCAAAGAAATTCGCGAAGATCCAACAAAGAAAGAGTGATACAAGAAAAGAAGAACGTCACATATCTCGAGATTATTTTAAAATACAGTATGCAATCCTAAGAAATTGCATCAATTCTAAGCATATAGGGATCTGAATTAGACACATAATAAGTCAATTGACTTGTGGAAATTTTCGTCATCATCATTAAACATAAGGAGTTATGAACCGTGAGATCAATGGTTAGGTAACAGAATCACACCATTCAAACAACTTTACTTCGAACGCATCATAGAGTCAGCAGTCAAGTATCATAGTAAAAAGGGCTGACCTGACCTTTCAGGGCAGTCCTTCCATTTCATTAATTATAGGAAATGAGAACCAGGTTATCAGAAAAGTTCTAAATGGTAAACACCACGTAAGAGAAGTGCTCAACCCCGTAAAGACTAATGCTTGTTGGAGCTCAGTTGAGAAAGGTACACAAAAGGACTCAAAACCAAACTCCTTAAAGATCAGAGGATACAAGTTGATCTGAATAGGTCCAAAAACCAGCGTGAACCCAAAAAAAAATTCAAATAGAATGACCAGACATTAAGTTTCAGAAGATCTGATCATGGTGTTCCGAGGTCATTGGAACATCTAGATTAGGCCAATTATCCTAATTCTGTTTAACTGGACTTTGTGTGGTTAGGCTTGATTTAGGTACACTGTTTAAAGTAACACCATTTTTTTCTCATGATCTACGAATTGACTAACCTTAGTACCAAAAGGACCTTCAGGGTAGTCGATGTCAAGCAGCCTCCTTCCCTATACACAGAGAACATAAGAAAGTCAAAACTAAGTTTCTGCTCTTCGAACGCAACATCAAACCACACTCTACTCTTTGTCAAGACGAAACAACCACATCTATTGGTATTCCAGAATCTAACAAAGAACTTCTTATCTAAAGAACGACACTCATGATGACACCAGAGTGCCAGAAAAACAGGCTTGTATCATACCTAAAACGCATATAAACATAAGTATATAAAGCAATCACCTCAAGCTCAGCTTCAAGCTCCTCTCTTTCATGTCCAGTAGCAATAGGCATAACATCCTCCACATTCTTCTTTACAGATGTTCCTGCTGCAAGTTACAAAAGTAATAACAAGTCCTTCCTTAATACAAATAACAAAATCTATGAAACATAATCTTAAGCATGTTGCTCTTCCTCTTCTTCAAATACTTAAAAGATTTTACGTTTACAAAAAATTAGCCCTAGATTGATTAAGTAGCACCACAAGCATTTATTCAAAATCGATGTTGACATCGCATTAACTATCTCTGGGACCAAATCCAGATTCAAAAATCTATCGCACTGTTTTGATTTGGACATGTTCATATATGGAGAATCAGCAATTCAATTCACCACTTATATAAAGCATCAATACAAGATCTGATACGAACAACTACAGGCAAAGCTTCTTTTACCTGACTCGGAGCTGAAATGGCGAGATAAAAGAGATGAAGAAGCGGAAATTGTTGATCGATTGGTGGAGAGATGGAGACCAACGGGCTTGGAGACGACGAATCGGCGAGAGGAAGAAGCAACCGCGAAATCGGATGCTGTAGCTAGGCTTTTGAGATTAGAAGAGACGATTCTTCTCCACATGATGAAGATGAGCAAAGGCGTTTGATCTCAGGTCACTTCCGGCGACTCGAAAGATGATCTTCAACGCTTCTCTCGTCGGCGAAATGGCGCAGCCAGTGGATTCTCTGACCTTTTGTTTTTTTCCTGGGAGAATTGTTCAATTGCGATTTGACTTGGCACGTGTGAAACACTGACCTACAAGAATTTTTAAAAATCAGAACTATATGATTTTTTTTTTGGAGAAAAAACCCGAAAAAACCGTCATCTATTTTTTATTTGGTCGTTTAATACGTGTAGTTTTAAAATTGAAATAAAAATGCCTACTTTAATTGTTGTTGTCTTTTAAATACTTTGTTTTTTAAATTTTGGTAGATTTGTACCTCTGCGTTAACGGCAGTTAACGATGGTAACGGAATCGCTAACTAGGGTTAAAACTTAACCGATTATATTTACGTATATATATACAATATCTTTTCAAACCTATACGAACGTATTGCTGTAGTCAAGTGGTAATATATGTGTTGAACTAACCATCCCGAACCAGAGATTGAGTCCCACATCTATCCTCTTCAGACGTTTCTATTTTTCTTTTTTTTTTCTTCTGACTTTGTCTTCTTCGATCCCTAAACAGAATCTTCACTTGAATCCTTCTCATATCAGCTCTCACCATCACTTCCGTCAGCCTTTCACTGGGGCTCCATCGCCGATTCCTCCCATTTCTCCTTACTCTTAGATCCTGACGACTTTACAACTTAGGCAGTGCCGGTCCGGTAAATTTGGGTGTCCTAAGCAAAATTAAAGTCCATAAAAAAAAATTCTTTTAAATTAGATTTTTACCATTAAAAAGAATGGTGTAGTTGTCTCTAAAAACCCACAATATTTTTAAAAGGCCCTACAAAAATTATTGTATATAAAAAAACTTAACAAATTTTTAGGTAAAAATTCCCTCAAATTTTGAGGCCCTAATCGGTGGCTTCGGTGGCTTGCCCTCTGCGCCGGCCCTGAACCTAGGCATTCTCGGTATATGTCGCAACCATCGTCTTTCTTCTCCTTTGATTCATTGCCGCCGTCAAATCCGCCGGTTTCGGTGTCGGTGGAGGAAAAAACCGGCGCCGGATTTAGCCCCTCTCTGCCTCTGTCACCGTTTACGATGTGTCATTCTTCTAGCTCTCGGAACGCCGAAGATGGGGAGAATCGGTGAAGTCAAAAAAAAAAAAAAAAAAATTAAAACGTCGAAGAGGGACGAAAGGAAGATACGAACTCAGCCCCCAATGGTTTAATCATCACAGACTAAGACAATATATTAGTATTATTTTGAAAAGAAATTTTATATATATATACGTAAACACAATGGGTTAAGTTTTACTTGCAGTTAGAATTCCGTTACCATCGTTAACGGCCGTTAACGCGGAGGTACGAATCTACTAAAATTTAAAAAACAAAGTATTTAAAAGACAACAATAATTAAAGTAGGTATTTTTATTCCAATTTTAAAACTACACGTATTAAACGGCCAAATAAAAAATAGATCCGGTCAAAACCATCAAATCGACAAACGGTGTTAGTATTCTGTTAATTAATGGTGACTAGAATGCCACGTAAGCATCGTGTCATTAAAAAAAAAAATTAAAAAACGCAGAAGAGGATTTGAACTCGCAACCTTTACCATCAATGCCCAAACTGAATGACAACTAAGCTATCACAATTTTCGTTGTACACTCTTACATATACATTTATATATAACAAATGAAGATGTAACAAACTAATATGTTCAATTTTACTCCACGCCTGTCATCCGTCCAATTCATCGTCTCCGATCTAAATTCCCAAGAACACGACAGGGTAACGCAATGTATATCTGATTGTAAAATTCAAAACGAACTAATATTATAGCAACGAACTAAATCAGTTCAACAAACCCTAGAAAAGAAGAAGAAGAAGTAAATAAATATCTCAAAATCAAACCCAGAATTTACCCACAAAGATATATCAAAAAAGAAGAAACAAAATTTCTGGAAAGTTTGAGAAAGCCCAGAAAATCGTATACTTAAAAAGGAGGCTAACTCTCTCCATCTATTTGACACGTCAGCATAGAACAAAGTGACACGTGGCGATTTTTTTTTTTAAATAACCAATGATAAATCTTCGTATCAGTTACGTATGCAAAACTGTATTTTAAAAGGATAAAAAAAAAATGAAAAGTCTGCTCGCCATGTCAGCACTCTTGCAATTGCCACGTGTACAGCTTATAATTTTAACTCATTCTCTCTTATTTTTCGTCGCCGATTCGCTTCACCTTCCTCATCAGTTTAATAACCACATCTTAGGTCTCAACGTATACATCCAACCCCAATCAACAAATCCCTTTTATGATCATCATCTCACTTAAATACAAAGCAATATGGAAAGTGGATTCGAAATTCTGTTTGGCATCGATTCTGGAGGATTTTCGAAAGCAAGGAAACGTTCGAGTTGGCGTTTGTTGATTTCAGTTCGAAAAAAACCATGAAATTTATAGGTTTGTCAATTTGTCTGTTCTTTCTATTTCTCTTTCTGTTAAGACTTTGAGACTTTCTGCTCAATCCGTAAAGTATCGATTTGTATAGACTATAGACGTGAACGTAACATGATCATCGGCCATGACTTGTGAATTGTATAAAAACTTAATCGGTGTATGAAGACAGAAAAAAGTGATTATGCAAATATGTATTGTTGAAACCTGTTCGGAAAATAAATGTAGAAATTAACCAAAATCGCTTGAATTATTTTTTTGTAGTCTTCTGGAAAAATTTAGAGTGAATTATTTGATTCTCTCTGTTTAAAACCTTTCTATTAATTTGATTCAAGGGAGTATTAAATTTTTTTCTTTTTGTTGATTCAAAGTTATTAAGCTTTTGATGGAATCTTAAGCTTCTCTTTTGGAGTTTGTAATGTATATGCGCATATCATTTGTTTTTGAGTTATGTGGATGTTGAATCAAATTACCTCTATCTACAGAGGTTTTAAGGCGTTTTAGAGGGATTGAGAAACTGTTAAACCCATAAAGGTCGAGTGGTCGACTAACATATTGCTAAATCTTGATAAAGGGTTTTAACACTCTTCTTTGTTGTCTTATTGCAGGAAAGGAACGTAGAGTCTCTGAATACTACAAGAAGCAAGAGAGGCTCCTCGAGGGTTTCAATGAGATGGAGACTATAAATGAAACTTGTTTTGCATCTGGTGTTCCAACTAAGGTCTGGCCTCTACTATTTTTCTTTAGTTTCTTCTTATGTATGTCACTTTGAGATGAATCTTCAATGTTCTTGGTGTCAACAGGAAGAAATAAAGAAGCTTGCAAAGAGTGAGAGACTGGCAGTTCACATATCAAACGCAACAAATTTGGTGCTTTTTGTGGCAAAGGTTTATGCCTCCATGGCTATGTGATTGCTTCAACTTTGGACTCTCTCTGGGATCTTTGGACTCTCTCTGGGATCTCTTGTTTGGTTTTATTCTCAGGTTGACAGCTAATGCCATGAGAAAACTAAACCAGTTTCATTATCTTATCGGAAAGCGCCGGATGCAACATGTGGTATGCTTGTTCTGTTTTTCTCTATTAACTTCTTTGTTTGGTTTATATTTTGATTCCTCTGGCCAGTTTTTCTACAAACTTCCTTGTCTCATAAGAAAACAGAATTGATAATGATACACGCTTTAAATTTACATGGCATCATTGTGTTTGCTTTCGTAATGGCAACTCTTAGACTACATGTTTTGCTAGAGTTAGTAAGGCAACTAGCAAGATCAAGACCGCCGGAGGTGAAAGCTCTTGGTGTTTTGTTTCTGATTCTATCATCTAAAATTTCTCTGTGTTTGTTCTTTTTTCCACAGGATGGGTGTTTATAGTATTAAAAGTTGGTGTGACAAGTCAAGCAGTTCTGTGGCAGACAAGTTAGAAAACAACCAGCCGTCACACTCAGGTGTATGCAAGCTGTTCGTGATCAGTCTCGTGTAAGAGCTAATCGCGGAGCGCCTTTAGACTCAATTGAGCTAAAATATCATGCAAAGCGGACCAGAGGTAAAGATAATTCGAAAAACTAGGTAATAAAATACATGAGTTTCGAGTAAGACTATTGAACAGTACTTTAATTATGTTAATCTTGTTGATGTGTTCCACATAAGGGTTTATGTGGTAATCTCTCAAGTTTAAAGGAATAGATGGAGGGGGAAGGAGCTATTAAGAGGGAGAGAGCTATGGTTTATTATGCTTTCACACATCAGGTGATAAGGTATAACTAACAATATTTGACAATGGTTTCATTTTAATATGTTTCAGGTTTTGATTGTGAAAGTGCATGGGTTTAGGTGAATTGGGTGTTGTGTCAGTATCGGAAGAAACTTTGACGCTGCTGATGATGATATTCGTTCCAACTATCTACACCTTGCCATGGTTCTTTGGGGTTCTTCAATGATGGAGTTCGTACTATTTTGGTTGTTTTTGCAAAAGTAGCAACGATGAAAATTTGAAGAAGGGAATTCTTTTACATCTATGTTTCAACAAATCAACAAGGCTTATCAAGGTTTGGTTCTATTTGTCTATTTGCTATAAACTGATAACATGATTATCAATGCTTAATTTTCGTACCCAAATACCATGAATCCATGATCATGGGTTTCAGAGCGGGTACTCCAATCTTATTTGCATTTTTCCCTCTTCTTATTTTGGTTTAACGTTTACAGAAATGGATACAAAATCTGACAAATAAGGTTTATTTATTGTCTTCTCTGCAGCTCCTTTGACGAATCCCTCCAACATCTTTTCTTTGATTGCACATTCTCTTGTGAAGTTTGGTCTTTTTCACATCTAAAGCCCATCTTACTCCACCAAATTTATTTGAACATGGACTTAGATGGATTAAAGACACTTCAAGCAACCCAGATATCACTTTGATCCTCAAGCTAGCTTTACATGCTTCCATTTATGTTATTTGGAAGGAGGAAAATGGGCGGTTGCATTCGCAAGTGGCGAGACCTCCGTCGGCTCTGATATCTGACATCAAGAACACTATCCGTGCCAGGTTGGATCAGCTTTATAGAGCTCGAAGAGTTAACTCCTCTATCGGTTCGCTTTTGGAGACATGGTTTGATCTGTTTCAATCTTAGCTTCTCTGCTTTCTTTGTTTTTAGTTGTTCCCGCAGGTTATTGTGCTCTTCCTTCTATTAGGCCTATGCCCGTTTGGGCTTTTCAGACTTGTAATGTTTTTATAAATGAAAAAGGTTTCCTTACAAAAAAAGGTTTAGTGAGAACATCTAAATGGAAATGCAAAAAAGTAGACTTTGAGCTTAAGGGTCAGGGTAATTTGGCATTTCACAAAATTTTTAAATGGTTTCTTATAATGGGAGTATTGTCTTCCTGTCTATTAACAAAAACTAACCAAACTTTTACTTTTAAATACTTATGAATTATGATATATAACGCGAAAGCCCGCACGTAGTGCGGGTATTCACCTAGTAGGGATTGAAGTGGAATTGATTTAAGGAGTTGATGATGGTTTGAGACAAAATTAGTGAAGGAATCTGATAAACAAATTAGGTATATTTCAGAAATCTAATTCGAAATTATGAAATTGATTTTTTCAAATTTAAAATCATCATTCGTTGGAGAGACGATTCTTCTATATGAAGAAACGATTCTGAAACTGAATGTAGGTACGTAAATGGAAGACAAATGACAAACTGACTTTGTGTTTTATATATATATATATATATATATATATATATATATATATATATATATATATATGTTAATATATACAACGAAATTTCTTATAGCATAATTGGCATTGAGTTTGGTCATTGATTGTCAAGGTCGGGAGTTCGAATCTTCAGGTGGGGTTTTTTTTTTTGTAAATTTAAATGAGACGACGCCTACGTGGCATCCTACTCAGCATCAATTAACGGAATATTAACACCGTTTGTTGATTTGATGGATTTGACCAGATTTAGAATGTTCGTGTGGGAAATGCAAAATTTAGTTAAGTTCATGTAGTTATAAGCACGACTCAAAGTTATGTGTATAAATTCGATAAAGTAACTAAGTTTAGGGGGGAATTGGCCGTTTTTCCATGACTTTGAATATATAATAGATAGTTTAGCCGTCTGTCTCTACGAATTTTTATTGTACAACTGTAAAAGTTATCATTATGCAATTTATGTCATAATTATATGATTATGCAATGTTACTATTCAAAACTAATATTCGTTTCCGTTTTTGGAAAGGAAGAAAGGTATATTCTTAGAACAAAACCTTCATTTTTTCGTCTGATATTGTAGACCGACCGCTGTCACTGTTTTTGTATGCAAATTGCATTAACCAAACGGCTCTTTCACGTTTAAAATATTTCTTTTAAAACTGTATTTCGTAGAAAAGTGCAGATCAAGACATTGCAATCTGACAAAAAAGAGCGTGTAGACTTATCCATCTCCCAAGGTCACAATCCAATACTTGCGTGTCCACCATAAATCTCCCTGCACAAGCACAATTCAGTAAAAGCTTCTACATTGATTACATATCCAACGTACCATATCCACTTTCAATTTGTTAATCATATAAATTTTGAAACCCTAAAATTCAATTTTCTTCTGCCTTTAAATCCCCAAATCTTCACGTTACTTTTCTATCTACATTTTCACTTTCAATGGCTTTGATTATCTCCTGCTCCGCTCTAACCACGATCCGAGCATCTTCCGGATCCGAATCCCTTAACCCGGGTCCGAATCGCAAGAAATCTGCTTCTTGGTGGGCTCCTCTCTTCGGTTTACCCTCCGATCCCAATTACCTCAACATCGAAAGCTCAGGCTCCGCCGTGAATCCGGAATCAAATCCGGGTAAACCCGATATTTCCGGGTCGGGTCAGAAGTTTCGTCGCGGTTGTCTTACGGAGGAGAAAGCTAAGCAGTTGAGGAGGAAAACTGCAGAAGCTTCCACGTTCCACGATGTTATGTATCATTCCGCCATTGCTTCTAGACTTGCGTCTGATATCTCCGACCGGGTCGAGGATTGAAACGGATTCGGGTCAGATCTGGAAACGAATCAATTAATGAATAATCTTTCTTCTTTAAGTGTTCCTGTAGGATGCAGACCATCTTTTATCGGTGCTCCTTTTTCATTAGAACCGTTGGATTGTGTGTTGTAAATTCTGGTTAACAAGAACCGTTGGATCGTTGCTTAGTCAATTTCCCTTAATTTCTTCTGTAATCAAACCGTTGGATCACCACTTGTTATCTTTAAGACAATTGTTGTCCCTAATTAGCTCTTTTATGTAATCTCAATTTTAAGAAGTATAATAACTCTTAGTAATAGCGGGCAAAAAAAAAAAAAAAAACTCTTAGTAATCTACTTCAGAACTTGAATTTGGTCTTGTTTTACTTAACCATACTATTTTACTATTTTACAAATTCCACTCACATAAGCTATTATTTTTTTTTTTTTTGAACAAACTTTCATTTCATTTCAAATAAAGCTATTATTATATGTTGTGACTTTTGTCATTGAAAAGCTAACACTTATATAAACCACTCCAAATCTTAACGATGATCGTGAATTTGGTTCTTGTCTTTGTTTAATCTTAATATCGTCGTTGTTTCAATGTACTGATGATATATCTGTTATCTCCGTTAAGTTCTTTTTATAATGTTCAATGAAGAACCACAAAATGTAAAGTGACTTGTGATATTATATAATTCATTCTTGTGAGTATTTTTGGTCGTTTTATAATTTTATCTTAATTCGAAAAATATGAAAGTTTGAACATTTTCCACCTTAGGCAACTAGTTAGATTTGAGTTTGTAAGTAGTAGTGAACATATAGTAGAAGCAACACACTTGTGTTTAAACAAAGAACGGAGAAATGAAGACAAGAGGAGAGATATGTAACATTCTCTACTTGAGCTTCCACAGTGCCGGGCCTCAAAAGAATTTCTGAAATCCACTAGCCAAAATTATTTACAAATTGACCCAAAATTAATTTATTTTAATAATAATTGGCCCAAATGTTTTAAAGCTTCTAAAATAACCTGTTTTTTTATAACTGTGGCCCAGAAAAAAATCAGGGCCGGCCTTGCTTCCACCTACTTGTACTTTCTCCACTATTCTTTGATTGTCTTGATCATTAATGCCAATCCAACACATTAATGATGTCCAGTAAATTTGTCTCAAATAATCTATAACAATTCACATTTTCTACTTTCTAGAATCAAACCTCAAATAAGATGTTAAAACATTAAAACACCAAATAAGTTTTTATTTTGTTTATCTTAGTAATAATACTTTGTTTTGTTTTATTTGCAAAAACGGTTGACTGTATTTAGTCGCGCATGTTTTTAAAGTATGAATTCATCTGATGATGACATGATATTTTGCATAATATTGGTTTTTTTTTTTAAATGAGCACAATAAAATACATTAATTATCTGGAGATGTGCCTTTAGTCAAGTGGTTAAATCCACTTGACTCCGCCTTTTCCACCGGAGTTCGACTCCAGTAAGTTGCGTTACCCCGCGTAGTAGGGATTGACTATGGATCGGACCTTGTCGATCAAAAAATGTCAAAAAAAAAAATACACTAATTATTTATGAATTTTTTTTTTATTACTTATTTACAAAAAATTTAACCTTTTTTTATGCCAAGTAGCAAATCAATCCCTTCCCATATAGTATTTAGGGGTGGGCATTTAAACCGAACCGAACCGAACCGACCCAACCCAACCGAACTCAAACCGATCTAAACCGAACCCAAGCTTATACTCAAACCATTCGGTTGGGTTTATTCTCAACCCAAATGGGTCGGTTCGGTTCGGTTTAAAACCGAACCGAACCGATAACCCAATGTGTTTATTTAATTAATTATTTAATTATATTAACAATATTGTAAATAACTAAATATGTGTTTATTTTTACTTTTATAATAATTTGAATAAATGTAAAATAGATTTAATTATCTCTAAAACTCTAACCCTAAAAAACTTAGGGTTCTCCTTCTAAAAAACTTACAACTTGAACTTGATATTTAATGACTTTACCAATTTCAATGTTCAAACTTCAAAAACAATGAATTTTTTTTGTTTTGTTACATTAATTGATTTTTTGAACCGAATTCAAACCGAACCGAAGTAAAACCGAACCGAACCAAACATAAACGGACCCAAACACAAACCGAACCAAACTAACTTCGGTTGAGTTTGGTTAGAGTTTTACGAAACCCAAATAAACCGACCCGAACCGAACCCGAAGTTAAACCGAAATGTCCACCCCTAATAGTATTCATCTACCAAAATCACCGTAACTCCAAAAATTTTTTTATGCCAAGTTCTCAATTCAATCAAAATGAGTTTTGCACGAGTTCAAGTAGCAATTTTTTTTTTTTTTGTGAATGGACACCGATGTTAAACCAAAAATATAGGGGTCGCTTATTGCAACACATGAAAAATATAGGAACTAACTTGAAAAAAATACAAATAATGGTCTTCTCCTTCCTGTGTCGATGTAGAAATCCCTAAAACTTGCTACTGTTTGCAATACTTTGTACAAATAAAAACCACCCAATTCCTTCGCTTTCCTCTACAAATTTCCACTTTCTTAACTTTTCTAGTTCGAATTCATCTTTGGTTCTGTAGAATTCTCATGAATCAGCATTCCACTGTAGCTACAGATTTCTCTATTAAGTGTAGATCGATCGAAGTTTATAGATTCGGGATTGATTCTTCTCCCAATAAATCTGTAAAAATTACAACAAAAATTTAGATTTTTAGCTACTCGGAATCTACCTTGAATCGTTTGGAATTGAAAAACCTTTCCTTTAATTTCAAAGAGTCGCTCAATTAGGGTTTAGGATAAATGGAGAAGAAGAAGGTGACGATTCCACAAGTGTGTCATGGCCATTCAAGACCTGTTGTTGATTTGTTCTACAGTCCAATTACGCCTGATGGTTTCTTCCTCATCAGCGCTAGCAAAGGTAAATTATTATACTTTTTGGTTTCTTATCGAAAAATTGGATCTTTTTGTTTGTCTATTTAGTTACAAGGACTGGTGCAAAACTCATGTTGATCCAATTGAGTAACTTAAAACGATTTGGTTGGTGGGTATTTTATAAATGGGTTAGCTTTTGTGCAACTCTAGTTTTTGAGTATGGGGCAATACTTGTTTTCACAGTTCTAGAGTTTTGAGTATTTGAGAATATTTGTGTTTTGATGATTTAGATTCGCATCCAATGTTGAGAAATGGGGAAACTGGAGACTGGATTGGGACATTTGAAGGGCATAAAGGTGCAGTTTGGAGTTCTTGTCTGGATAACAATGCATTACGTGCTGCATCTGCTTCAGCCGATTTTTCAGCGTATGTGTTTGATTAGTTTTTGTTCATTATTATGATATATTCTTAGGATACAGCATGTACCTGTTGGCCAATCATCCGATTTTTTTATTTTTTTCAGCAAACTTTGGGATGCTTTAACAGGGGATGTGCTGCATTCTTTTGAGCACAAGCATATTGTTCGAGCATGCGCCTTCTCAGAGGTTCGTTCAACCTATTTACTCGGAAACTGTACAGAATTTAAGTTGAAAGCTTTGAGGATTTGTTTATTTAGGTGATAGTGGAATTGTTCTCCAGATTTGACTATTCTTAAACATTTGTTGTTTGTGGATGGTGCCTTGTCGTTCCGCTTTTATGCCGTAATCACTAATTGATTGGCATTTTTCTTTCACTAGGATACAAAATTGTTGCTCACAGGAGGGTTTGAGAAAATTCTTCGTGTTTTTGACATGAATCGGTTGGATGCACCTCCTACAGAAGTTGATAAATCTCCTGGTTCTATCAGAACCCTCACGTGGCTTCACAGTGATCAAACAATATTAAGTTCCTGCACTGATATTGGCGGTGTAAGGTATGAACTAAACAATACAAGTGTTAATTCACATCGTAGCATACAACAAGGCATAGTTTGATAGACGCTTTGTTTGCTTTTCCTTCTCTTCTAACTGTCATCTTTTACAGGTTATGGGATGTGAGGAGTGGGAAAATTGTCCAAACGTTAGAAACTAAGTCTCCTGTCACCAGTGCTGAAGTGAGCCAAGATGGACGGTATATAACAACTGCTGATGGGTCAACTGTTAAATTCTGGGACGCAAACCAGTAAGTTCTCATTCCAGGAAGAGAATCGGATATTTTCTTATTTATCTTTTGTAATTTGCTCAAACTCTTATGTTTGTCCCTTCTTTTTGCAAGCTTTGGACTAGTTAAGAGTTATGACATGCCCTGCAATATTGAATCTGCGTCCTTGGAACCAAAGTCTGGTGAGAAGTTTGTTGCTGGTGGAGAGGATATGTGGGTCCGAGTATTTGATTTCTACACTGGCGAAGAGATTGGTAAGTGGCTCTCAAAACATTTATGCAATCATATTCCAAATCAGACTGTGTCGTTGTAGCGTCTTCCTTAAGTTCCAGAGTTTCAGCTTGTTTGGATTTTATAAAATCCATGAGTGAAGAGCTTGATAGATCTTTGAAGCATGGTTCTTCAAGCTCATGTGAGGTTTTGGTTTTCTGATTGTCATTTTTGTCTGAAACTTAGGATGCAACAAGGGACATCACGGTCCAGTACACTGCGTGAGGTTTACTCCCACTGGCCTGTCCTATGCCTCAGGATCTGAAGACGGAACCATCAGAATCTGGCAAACAACACCAGCAAATCCCGAAGAGAATGAAACAAGCTCAAGGAGAGTGAAGCATAGCGTGGATGAAGTTTCAAAGAAGATTGAAGGCTTTCACATCAACAAAGAAGGAAAAACCGCAGAGAAACCATCTGATACTTAAAGCTAAAATGAGCATATAAAAAAGCCTCTATATGTCTTAGTTCTTGATTATGCTGTGTTTTATTTCCAGACTGAACGAATATACAGAGAAAAAACAAACAAAAATCTCTCTCTTCTTTTGAATCAAATCAAGCTATGGGTGTTAAATTCTCTTTTGGTTTTCACTAGTTCTTTGTGAATATTTGAAAACAATTAGGGACGATTTTGAGATTTATGATAATTTGTTGGGCTTGGGCTTGGGCTTTTTTCGAGGTATAAGGGTAAAATCGTCATTGAGAGTTTCGTAGACCGACCTTTCTCTCTCTATCTGGGACAACGTTTATCGAGAGACTCTTCGAGCTCATCTTCTTCTCTCTTTTTTTATCTTCTGGTGGTGCGATCTCCTTTCTCTTTCAATCTCCGAAGATTTTACAGTGAGATATTTGGCGGGAAAATGTCGGGGAAAGGTGCTAAGGGTTTGATTATGGGGAAACCCAGCGGTAGCGACAAGGATAAGGACAAGAAGAAGCCTATCACTCGTTCTTCTCGCGCTGGTCTTCAGGTATATATAATCTCACTCGATAAGTAGATCTCGTAAAGTGGTAGATCGATGAGATTCTGAGCTAGATTTGGTGATATCAGCTATGAAATTGAGTCATTGGGATGCGAGATTTTCTGTAATTTGTTTGAGATTGTTTCATTGAGCTTTTGTGGTTGATATTGAACACGATCTTTTGTAGAGATTTATGCGATATATGAAATGTTTCTGGGAATAATGGAGATTTGATTATAGTTTAAAGCTAATTTGATTCATCAATGTGTGTTTGTTGAGCCATTTTTGTTGAATTTTATTTGTGTAGTTCCCAGTTGGTAGGGTGCATCGACTGTTGAAGACTAGGTCCACTGCTCATGGAAGGGTTGGAGCAACTGCAGCTGTTTACACAGCAGCGATATTGGAGTATCTGACTGCGGAAGTTTTGGAGTTGGCTGGTAACGCCAGCAAGGATCTGAAGGTGAAACGTATCTCGCCGAGGCACTTGCAGCTTGCGATTCGCGGAGATGAAGAGCTTGATACTCTCATCAAAGGAACTATAGCTGGTGGTGGAGTCATCCCTCACATTCACAAGTCGCTCATCAACAAATCCGCCAAGGAATAGGACTTTTAGTTACCCGCTTTGTTCTGTGTTGCTTTTCTGTTTCTTAATGTTTCAAGAGTTGTGTTTGATAAGATGCTAGAGAGCTCTTGTAGGATTGTTTGCTATTGTTCGATCGATCGGCGTACTTTGTGTTAGAGACGTGAGTCGATTTATCTATCTTTATGAATGTATTCGAATGATTATCCGAAAACCATTTCTGACTACTTTGTTGGTTTGTTCTTATCAAAAGCAAATTCATTGGTAGGGATTTGTATTTTCTCTGAATAGAAATCATATATACATCATACATAAGAGAAATCACAGGTTTGTGTTTGAAAAAATTAGGCTGATAATATTCACTTGACCTAGTTGACGTCGAAGGCTCTAACTTGTGCAGATAATGCAATTCCGAAGTAAGGTTCTTTGTAGCAAATCTGGTTGGAGTTTTGATCCTTTTAAGAATAGACTGATGAATGGAACCACGAAAAAACATATTCTTGTGTAGAGAGCTGATATCGTGCTGATGTTTCATCAAGTGTTGTAGGACACTCCTCATGTGGCAGATGGCCGCAACCAGCGATCTCTTGAGATGGTCTTATGTGGTTTTAGGAGTCTAGTAGTTTTGGTATCAGTCTGCAAATGAAGGAACCAAGAGCGGCGACAAGTGTTGTAGGACACTCCTCATGTGGCAGATGGCCGCAACCAGCGATCTCTATGAGTCTCTGTGTGCACAAACAAATACATAGACTTAGATTCAAGATAACGGAAACAAAGTTATGAAAGTCTTGTTGAGAGGATGTGAAACTTACAGAATTAGTGAGTTTTGAAGCCAGAACTTGTGAAGATTTCAAAGGAACCAGAGCATCTTCAGCTCCGGCAACAACTAAAACAGGAAGATCTCCTATTGATTTTAACAGAGCTGATGCATTTTGAGGTGAAAGTATCATCTCATATGATAACTTGCTTATCTCATTGAGTGCTTCATCCCAAGCTTCTAAACACAGAGGAGCCTGAAATTAAAGGTAACTGTTTAGTCTCAAATGCCATTATGCATGGTTACAAAGTGAAACCAGTGATTACCTTATAGAGCATAGTGACATCAGTGGTTAGCTTGGTGGTGTCACACCATGCACGCCGGTTCACCAATTGGGTTATTTCGGTTCGCAGTAAAGGACGGACCAAGTGCTTCTTTCTGAGTGAAGTATGAAGAAGTATCCTTGCAAAGGCAGGAACTACTTCTCTAGATAAGCTAACGTTTATCAAAACCACCCCTTTGATTGTGATCTAGGGATTATTCAGAAACAAGTGTATTGTTAGTAACAATTAAACACAAAGTCTTAATCATCCAAAATATATGTTCTTACATTGTATTTAGAGGTAGATGCTTGCATTCTTTCGACGGCCTTGAGAGCAAGCAAACCACCATCGTCGTGGCCAACGAGTATCACCGAAGAAAACCCCATTTCAGAACAAAATGAAAGTAGTAGATCAACCTGTTTGAATCAAGTATGTCAAAAAGAGATGGAAGATGAACATTTTCAACATATTTAAAGAAACTGACCTGGCTTTCAAGCTTGTAAGGGTTAGCTAGATTTCTCTTCTCCCAATCTTTCCGGATAAGCCTAGAGGTTAATCCCCAACCAGGCCGGTCATATGCAACAACTCTGCAACCGAGCTGAAGAGACAATTCTCCCATTACATGCCTCCATGAGAAGACTCCTCCACCAAATCCATGAACTAGAACTATACTAGTATTCCCATCTTTCTGCAAATCATCACCAGGATTCATAGAATTTATGTGATTCACATCATCCTTATTGAACAAGCTCATGGGTGTAGTTTGGTAACTGGCTAACAAAGGATCATATAGCGATGATCTATCGGGCTGAATAGTGTAGCTACGATGGAGATGACTGCTGTGAGTTTGGGAGATTAAGTTTGACATTTGCTTGTCTAACAGTCTTGATCTTCTCGCATTCATATCCGCTGCAGAATCGCTTACAATAACGAAGGAAGATACAGACGGTGAGGTACACTGCTTGTAATGGACATATAAGCCTTGGATCATGATGAATAAACTGTCTGCATTTGCAAGTAGTCTTGGTTGTAGTAACTCTTCTCTATCCAAAGATGTTCCCCTGAAAGATTTTTGTCTGAATTCACCGGCATAAGTCAGGATTTTGCAGTTTGATCGAGTGAAAGATTGACGGTGAGCCTTCTTGTAACCTGAGAAACCGGATTTGCATGAGAGAACCTGCAAAATACCATAGAAAAGAGTTGAGCTCCAACCACAAATATCTAAAGGTAATAAGTGAAAACAAGAGAGCAGTATTTTTACAGCTTCTTGGTCAATCTTGTGGTACATTAGCTTCCTTCTTGCTCCACAGCTTTTTCGATAAGCTACCACGACATGAGCTATACCGAAAACCGCAGAAGATAGTAACAAAACCGGCATTCCCCATGAGATCTTGAAGTAATAGACCTTAGCCTCCTCAAGATGAGAATTCACAGTGAAAACACAAGTTTTAACCAAAAGAAGAAGTATCCCTCCAAAGGAAAATAACATCACTGTTTCAAAATAAAGACCATAAGCTAATCTTGTGTCTTCACAGATCCAAGAAAGACCTGTTTCAGTAGAAGCTCAATGAATCAGAGAGGTCTTAGAAGTGCTAACATTTGTGTTTTGAGTAAGAGAGAATTAATGAGTCCGTACGTACAGATAATGAAGAGAGATCTAAGGAGGGAGACGAGTGGTACATCAATGAGAGAGCTCTTGAAACTGTACTGACGAAAATGTTGTGCAGGGGAGTAGCACGTGAGGCACGTGATGCTGGAGACGATAAGACAAGGAACCACCACATCAGCCACCGTGATCAGAACCGGTAACGAGGAAGCTAACAGAGAGGCCATCATTGCTGCCACAAAGAACATGGTCCGGAAGCATCTTCGTGCTTTCTCCGCCACAATCCACGACTTCCATGTCGCCATTTTCACAGACAGTGGCTACAACAACTTGAGGAGATTATGTTTCCAAATATTGGGAACTTTTTGATAATCCAAGAAACTTTGAGCAAATATCCAAACCAGAAAATGACTCGGTGGCGTGACTCAGTGGGTTGTGACGGTTTATTGACGGCTGAGGCGGAGAAGCGCCGGGCATTCTCCGGAAATGGTCGTAAAGAAAGTTCACCGGAATTTGCAACTCTGTCTTTGCTTTTTATAAATGGACCATTTTATTCAAATTCAGAAAAAACGTTAGCTTTTAGGGAAATGTGTAATATAATTTGTAACGGTTGATATATTATAGAAAGCAATGCAATTTTGAAACCATTTTGGTACATAAAATATAGTAAAGAGTTGTATAAGATAAATTGAATTAATGAGTGGGAAATATTAAATGATTAATGGACCAAAAGACAGCAAAGACAAAGAAATGATAAGTGTGTTTGGAGGAAGAGTGGCACATAGAAGCATGTGAATGTTAGGTTCACTCTATATAATATTCTTCCAGCCATTTTCTTCTGTCTTTGTTCCCTACAAAGTTAGCTTACTATGTATATACTTTTTTCTTACTATAAAAATCATTTTCATTAAATAATTTGGTAACAAATCATGTCGTAATTTATCAAATCATGACTGTTATTTTCTTTCTTTGTTAGTCTATAAATAACGAATATCAATTTTGTTATATATGTAAAGACATGGAAAAAGGGTTTTAAGAAAATTTGAAATTAGAAAATATGGCTGTGTACAGATAATTGAGATGCAATAATTATGAAGCAATGATCTGGCAGAACAAATCAAGATGTTTATGCCTAGATAATTACGGGATCTTTGTATCAAAAAGTTCAAAAAAAAAAAGTGTTATTATAAAACATAATAGAATAATAAATCAATATTCAATACTTTAATAATTATGTTCCCATGCATGTTACTGCAGAAACATTGGAATAAAAATGGTACGCCGTTTTATGTACGTTTCATATAACGCATGTCAATACAATACGAGGAAAGTCGGAAACTACTTAATAATGTATATATTATTATCTTATATCATTATATGTTCATAAATATTAGATAACTCATCCCTTTTCATTATTACATATCTTTCTCGTATCAAATTAATTTTTCTATCTATAAATATCAATATGATTTTTATTTTTTGTAATGCATATAAATCATTGTGATTTTGTTTCTTCATGATTGTTCGGAAGTTTCTTGTTTCATATTAAAAAAAAAATTTAATGTTCAATTATTGCAAAAATAATAGAAACCATAATGTATATTAGACTTATGTGCATTTGGTTCACAATTAGGAATATATTCGTTTTGTCAAGAAGAGAAGTATTTTATAAATGGGCCGTCGGTTTTACTTACTTACACAAGGCCCAATGGTGTTATTAAACATGCCCACTGACCAATTCTTTCAACTAGTTTGGTACAGAAAATAGATTGGGGTGGATATTAAACCGGACCGACGGTATATTCCATTGGGGTAGGTAAGGAAACGAGCGAACCGAACCGGGGTAGGTGAAGAAGTGACTGACTTATCCGACATGAACCAAACCGGGTCGGGTCGGGTCGGGTCGAATCCTAACACCAACTTTTCGCACCAACTCTCTACTGACCCTACCAACCCCCGGCCCCACCGTGGTTGGTGAAGTGACTAATCATTTTATAATTTTCCTTTTTTTTATTAATCATATATATTACAGTTTAATCACATGGATAAGATCATAATAAAGTTGCCAAATGACGAACCAAAATTATCTGTAATAGCGACACAAATTCAAATAATAATAAAAAATGCAACACTAAAACCAGTATGTAATTTTTAGTTTTACTGAAATATTAGAATGTGGAAAAAATGAATCTTCATCAAAATATTGTGTGATTATTACAAAATTTTAAATATTTTTATGGTATATTCTCTATTTTCAGTAATATATTTTATTTAAAAAGAGCAGAACATTAATTAGAAAGATATTAATCAGTTGTCCAAACCAATCAGAAGTCTAAGAAATCTTATATATTAAATATCTGTTAAATCTTAAATCAAAATATTCACATAGTTTTGATATACCGTATACAAAATTTAAAATAATATAATGACATTTTCTTTAAATTAATTGTATTTAATACCGTATATATAACGTGTAAAAACTCATTTCTCACGCTCTTGAAAATCTCACTTTATCAACAACTCCAAAAACCAAAACTCACTGAAACAAACAAAAAAAAAAACATCAAAACGATGCCGTCGGAAGCGGAAAGCTCAGCGAATTCACCACCACCACCACCACCGAATTTCTGGGGAAACATGCCGGAGGAAGAGTACTACACTTCACAAGGAGTACGTAACACCAAATCATACTTCGAAACACCAAACGGCAAGCTCTTCACTCAAAGCTTTTTACCATTAGATGGTGAAATCAAAGGCACTGTCTACATGTCTCACGGCTACGGATCCGATACAAGCTGGATGTTTCAGAAGATCTGCATGAGTTTCTCTACTTGGGGTTACGCTGTTTTCGCCGCCGATCTTCTCGGTCACGGCCGTTCCGATGGAATCCGCTGCTACATGGGTTCGTTACTTCGTTCCTCTGTTTTGAAATGTTTAGAAATTAAGGATTTTGTGTAGTTGATAAGATAAAGTTACGATCTTTAGGTGATTTGGTGGTTAAAGAATTGGTTTTTATGGTTCTTAGGTGATATGGAGAAAGTTGCAGCAACATCGTTGGCTTTCTTTAAGCATGTTCGTTGTAGTGATCCTTATAAAGATCTTCCGGCTTTTCTCTTTGGTGAGTCCATGGGAGGTCTTGTGACGCTTTTGATGTATTTTCAATCGGAAGCTGATACTTGGACCGGTTTGATGTTTTCGGCTCCTCTCTTTGTTATCCCGGAGGATATGAAGCCAAGCAAGGCTCATCTTTTTGCTTATGGTCTCCTCTTTGGGTTGGCTGATACTTGGGCTGCAATGCCTGATAATAAGATGGTTGGGAAGGCTATTAAAGACCCCGAAAAGCTTAAGATCATCGCTTCTAACCCGCAAAGGTACTAAAGAACTTCTTGGAAGCAAAATGTTTATGGATGTTGCAAGTCTCTCATCAAGTATAAAGCTTGAGACTTTTTAAATGTTTTGATGAAATAATGAGATTTTGCCTTTGTAGGTACACAGGGAAGCCTAGAGTGGGAACAATGAGAGAGTTACTGAGGAAGACTCAATACGTTCAGGAGAATTTCGGGAGAGTTACTATTCCGGTATTTACGGCACACGGGACAGCGGATGGAGTAACATGTCCTACATCGTCGAAGCTACTATACGAAAAGGCATCAAGCGCTGATAAAACATTGAAGATCTACGAAGGGATGTATCATTCGCTGATTCAAGGAGAGCCTGACGAGAACGCTGAGATTGTGTTGAAGGATATGAGAGAATGGATCGATGAAAGGGTTAAGAGGTATGGATCTAAAACCGTTTGAAGAAACCTACATTTGTGTTACAAGAACTTAAAGAGAAATGTATATTGATGTTATGATCTGTATCGTCGATTTGACTTGTTTTGCTGTCTGTTGTAATCCAAGAACATGACTTTTCTGATGTCAGAACTTATATATCATGGATTACAGAACAGGTCTTGCACTTTTCTAAATCTTGGATTAATCTATACAAGATTGACATGTTTAATGACCGTGCAAACGATATAAAATATATTTCAAATTTTGGCTTGTGGCTATGGTTGCGAGTGCGAATGTATCATAATCAGTAACACAATTGACGGTGCAAAACATATTTATAATCAAAATGGGACCATACAATATACAATGTTGTCTAGGCTTCATCGTCAAAAGAGAAGATGTTTAAGTTTCTTTCATCTATTTTTCGCCTCTGTTTTTATCCACACGTACATTATTGTCCTAGAGAATATTTAAGACACGTCCACCGGTCCACGTTCCCTTGTTTGTACGTATTCCCATTGTAAAATTTTGTATGTTATCTCTTTTGGCATTATAAGGAGGGGAAGATTTTGTCTTGCTCTTTATCTCTATCTTCTTCTCAGCCTCTCAAATCCCTGTCCAACGGTAAGATTGTGTCCCGAACCAGCCGTTTGGCCTGTCTCTTATCTTTTACACATGTAAAAATGTCTCAATGTTTTCGTGTTTTCTTGCTTGCCAAGACTTGAATGTTCCTTTATCCCTTCAACTTAGTCATGTTAAGTTTGTGTGGTGTTCATACATTATGATATCTATCTTAATATACCACTTATTTACGTTTGAGATTATTGATTTTGTTATTTTTATTTTAACCATTCAGAAAGTTTTTTGCGTTTTCATAAAAGTGATTCCGCGCTGTATATATGCATATGTGTAAACTATAAATAAAATCTTTAATTTACAAAAAATAACTACCTTTCAAGAACATTTTGTTCAGTTCAAATGTTCTCGCTATTAATATTATATATAAGTCACCACCAAAGGTTTTAGGAGCAAATCAACTTGTGTTAGTCTAGTAGGTTTGTAAAATTGGTAGAGCAAGACTTTTAAGTTTTATATGATGAAATACCATTCACGGATTCAAAGAGAGCCAGACGACAACGATGAACGATGAGGTTGTGTTGAGGGATATGAGACCTATTGGAGGTTGAATGGGTGAAATCATGAAAGGGTTAAGAGGTATGGATCCAAATAAATCCGTTTCAAACCTACATTTGTGTTACATGATATGAAGACAAATGTATATAGATATGTTATGATCCATGACTTTTTTTTGTTGTTTTTTGTGTTGATCCAATAACATTACTTTTGTGATGTAAGAACTTATATATATATATATATATATATGTGATAACAGAAATCCTATGTTATCAGATTAACATGTTAATGATACAATGAGCATGGAAACAAAAATAAAAGGTACAATCTCTTTGTTAATGTTAGCTTCTGGTTATGGTTGCATTGTATACTAGTTACATACAGTACAATGTCATGTGGTTTTCATAATCAAAATTAAAGAATCGAGCCCAAGCATCCGTGGTCTAGTGGCAGATGAAGCTTTGGGAAAGGGTGAAACACCCAAACCTGAGTTCGATTCTCCCTGGAAACAAAAACACATTTGTTTGGGAAGTCTGTCAGTTGGACCTTGGCCCAATTGGTTTATCTGGTAGCCAGAAATGCAGGCGGCTTGACTACTTCCTGGCACTTAGTCGGAAAGCCTTCCAAACTCGGGATAGGCAGAGTGGTAGCCCGTAAAGGCCTAACCGTTAACACGGTGGACCAGTCCACTATGTAGCACCTCGGTGCGTTCCTACCGGGGCCGACCGGATAGTCGATAGGGTTTAAAAAAAAAAAAAAAAAAAAAAAAATTAAAGAATCGAAAATGTTTAATGTCGTCATTTGTCTGATTTTCAACTCTTTTTGATCCACACGTAC